CTGTCATGTCTTAAAGTGATTAGTCTCTATTAAAGCTCTACAAGCTGGAAAGAATGCTGTTACTCAGAATAATAGTTGAAAATTTCTCTTATTGCTCTGCTCAGTCTCTGCTGAAGAAATTGCACTACCTCTAGCTCTTATTTATCAGAGTGAATTGTGAGATCTCCAGAATCTATAGCTAGATAATTATGATGAAAGCAAATGAGCCTACTTTGCAGCTTCAACAAATGATTGGAGCAATGATAAATATGAACTGAAGTAGTTGAAATGAGTTTTCAATTAGCATACTAAGGAACAAGCTGATTAAGAAAGATGTCTGCTTCTACTAGATAATTATTTCTTTTATATAAATATGAAATTTATTGAATATGCTGACTGTGAAAAGATTCTTCTTATAATTCTTCTGCTGCATTCAACTTACTATTTGCAATCTCTTGATATTGAAATCTTTGGGCTGCTGGACAAGGCATATTCCAATGAGCTGGAAGCACTACTATATCAAGAAATAAGCTATATTTGAATGACAAAAAGAGATTTCTGGAGATTATTCAATATGGCTTGGAAGAAGACTTTGACAGTTAAAAATATACTTGCTAACTTTGCAAAGACTGGGATTAACTCTCTGGATTCTCAATATTAACTATACTGATTTGAAACTGCTCAAGTCTCTACACTGCCAGTTAAATCTTCTATTTCTAGCAATATGCACCAGCTTCAACAAGAGATCAAGAATATATATCTCTGGCACAGTCTAAATTTGCAGAGTATTGGATAGATTATTCAAGCTAGTGAGCAGTTTGCTCTTTATAATGAACTGCTGGAACATGAGAATCAGTGACTAAGATTAACTCTAGTAATGGAGAAGCAATGCTGCAAGTGAGGCAAGCCCCTAGGCCTACTCAATAGAAATAATTCTAGTCAAGTGTAGTTCTGATCTCCAATAAAGTTCTTAAGGCATGTAAGTGTCTGGATGAAATAGAGACTGAAAAAGCTGATAAAATTACTCAAATACAAGAGACAAAACTTTAATAAGAGCTTCAAAAGAAGCAGACTGCTATAAATATTAAAAAAAGATGGATTGAATGAGAGAATGCCCATAAAAAGGCCTGAAAGCAATAAGAGACTGAAAAAATTAAATGTACTAGGCAAAGAGAGATATAACATGTTGCTTGTGAGGAGAAGAAGACTTTATAACTAGCAGAGAAGAAAAAACAGACAGTTGAACATACTAATAAATACTGGCAGTCAGGGCTTCAAGTACTGGCTTCAAAGCACTGTCAGAAGAACTCCTCTACTAAAGAGTCTTATTGTAAAGAGCCTATACAATCTTTTAAAAGGGGAAGTAAGAGCTCTACAAGCATCCCTAGCAAGGTATTAGGCTCCATAGCTGAGAAATCTACTGTTGATATTTCTTTGAATTCTTTCCTATCTATCTTCTGAATCTCTCACTCTGGCCATAATATTAGGCTGTCCACCTGTTTATTTTCCTAACTATACTAATTTCTATGCTTTAAAGAATACATTTATTTAATATTTAATAGCTATTTAATAATAAAGATCTGGTTGTTGAGATATTTAATAAATTTGTTGTGTGGAGCATTTGGCGAAATTTGGCTCGTTTAGTGGTGTGGCTTGTTTAGTGGTGAACTACCTTACCCATTGTGCTCTCGTTCACAGCACAACTTGTGGACCTCTCACCAACTCTATAGGCAAACACAGTTGAAAAATACATTGCCAATATGTTTCACGGAAATATCAGCAATCCTGACTGCTTGGGCAGTCAAGTGCTTGCTAGCATCACTCCTCCAGCTGGCAGTCTCTGTCTGTGGTCCTCTCATGGAGATTCTAGGGTGCTCTCTGTTTAATAAGAATGTCTGTCCCCCAAGCATCACTGGCTCGAAATGATAAATGGTTGCCCTGCAATCTCCTATCATTGTTTGGCCCAGATACTCCAGCTGTGAAAAGGAGGGATGATAGAACTAGCAGAAATGGAATTTTCAATTGCTTCAAGAAACAGAAAGTGCCCTGGTTTTTCCCCTCCTAGTTTCTCTGCCGCAATTTTGCAGAGACAAGAATGGTTCTGGAACTTCATGGTCTACAAGGAGTACTGAGCAAAAACAGAGTGACAGCAAGACTGCGATATGCTGAGTTGCAGTTGACAACCACTAACATCTGAATTTATGCATGTCTATTCCTTAAGCAATTTGTTTCAAATGTTGCCATTATTTTGGAAATTACAGGGTTTGAATCTGACTGTTTTGCTGAAGCTGGTGTGTGGTGAAAAGCTAAGGTGCCCAGGCCATTATTTATTATGTTACATTTTAAATCTCTCTTCGCGCGCGTATCCATCCCAAATCTGCTTTGAGCACACATCCAAGGGAACAGCCTCTATCCCGCTAGAGTGCTCCCAATCGGTACTGCAGGCGTTGTGGTGGCCTGCTAGAACTGTATCCGCAAGACAGTTCAGATTCTCCACCAGTGCACCTTTCTGGGCCACAGAGACACTGCAGCTGAGCAAGTGAATTGAGGAGTGAGTCTGTGAGTGAGAGTGAGTGATCCATCCGCTGCTCACTTTACTTTCCAACGCTGGGACATGCGCAACGCGTGATCTTGTTTTGGCCTCTCAACAGTCGCGGCCGCATCATTTACCGTCATCTTTCATCATCATCATCATCTTCTTCTTCTTCTTTTCTCTCTCTCTGTGTGTGCGTGTCTGTCTCATTTCATAAGTCAATGCTCTCAATTTCTCTTCCGCCTTTTCTACTCTCATTTCTGGACCCATCTCCGACAACCTCCAGCTAAATCTAGTGCACCTCAGCAGCTGATGCCCTTGTCGATTCTCTTTGCTTTGTGTTGAACTGTCATTCGAAACCACCATGTCTGCTGGCTGGGGCTATGCATTTCCCCATTTCAACCTCCCAACCGGAGGGAATCTCGGCCACGCGCCTCTATCGGGTTCTGTTGGCCAAATAGTCCGCCCAATGGACCAGCTGACCCTACTGGTAAGTGTGCATTGCTCTCTGCGAATCCCTGATTTATTTCTTGGCCCGTTACTGCCCCTGATTGCCCTCTCTCGCCATCTAGCCATCGCCCTCGGCTTTTTCGTGATCTTTTCAGTTGCTCACCTGTCTCCGTCTATCGTTTCTGCAGGAATCTGCCACGGTACCCTCGCGAACTGCTGGCGACGCTCGCAATCCCGTTGGGAGGTTCAGTCTATCTGCGCTTTCTCCATCGCAGCTAGAAAGAGCATGCTTCACGCCGCAGAGTGCCGTTACTTGCCAGCAAACACCTCGGCCGGCCAGCTCTGGACACTCGGTTGCCGTGGGGGACGCGCCGGCGTCTGAGACCGGACCCTCAAATGTAACGGAATATTCCTCTCCCGCGTTGGAGAGAGCATTGTCGACCTTATCGATCCTTGAGCGTCGAGTCACAAAACAGGAATCTCGTATCCAGGAATTGGAGGAACGGCTTTCACAACCCCCAGAAACGTTACTCTCCGCAGCAAGATCGACGTTCACGAATACCATTTCCTGTGTAGATCTCCTCGACACCCACAACCAGCTAGATCCAAGCCCCGTTATTGACGCACAAAGAAATGAAGTCATAATGAACCTTATCCAGCTGAAATCTACACCTACTCCAAGTGAACTCAGCCCTTCGCCTCTTCCCGACTGTCTGGCAGGCTTCGATGAGATCTTCGGGCGGGAATCTCACCCGGGTATCCAAGATTCGTCGGCACAGGAGGATCTCGAGGCTACAGGGACGCTGCTGGGAGGGATCGGTTCTCCTACACAGCTCACCCACCATCGACGGATTGACAGCAGGACTCACCAGGATTCCAATATGCTTCTTGGTATGGGAGATAGCCCCCGTGGCAACGATATTTCACCCTTGATCAGCCTATCCTCCGACAGTGAAAAGCAGGCGTCGGATTCCTTCCTGCTTCCAGATCCACTTCCCTGGAACGGAACCATTTCCTGGACAACAAAGTCTGTATTCTCAGATGCTCGGAGCATTGCTGCGGCGCGTAAAAGCCAAGCACCCGGAATTTCACCGGCTTTATTTGATGACGGCCTAGTCTATGAGCCTCGTGAAGGGGATGCCAATATATATCGAACCGTTGCTATCCTTGGGCTTCCGGGGAATATCGACATGAAAACTTTTCTCAAGGGAATACGAGGAGGCGACGTGTATTCAGCATACCTGCACAACACATTACAACTATCCGGATCACACATGGGTATTGTGACCTTTAACTTCCAGGTTCATGCTGTTGCATATACGGAGTTTGCGGCAAAAAATGGCGTTTACTTCAACGGTAAACGCGCAAAGGTCGTGCTATTCAAAACGCCAACATACCCAATCCCTCAAATCATGGAGCGGAACATATTTGAGTTCGGCCATACCCGTTGCGTGACTATTCGGGGAGAGTATGATCCGGAAAGATATACCATGGTTGCCAAATTCATGAAAGACAATATCCGGATGTCCTTTGATCTAGGTGACCGAATGGTGGAAAACGACACGGAAACGGAGATCACAATCAGGTTTAATTCAATTCGGGCCGCTGGTGCCGCGATGGAGAAGCTGGAAAGGTTTCCCCTTCTTGCTGAATGCGATATGTATTTCGACCGCGACCCTTGCTCTGAACCCCTTCCCGGGAGTAAGGAAGGGAACTGAAGCGGCTGAAATATAAGTCAGAAATAGATGCTCAAGGATGTCTGGGTTGGCTGCGGCTGCACCTCATCACATTTTCGGTGTGCTTCCATTTTGATATGCTTGTTCGTGCCGTTGGAAGGGGAGGCGGCTTGAAGAATTGTTAGATGGTGGATTTCGCTGGCTTAGGAGACAGAATGCTTTAGGCAATGCGCGTAACCGGCGCGGGGATTTAAAGGATACCACAAAAATCCAAAGTCGAGAAGAATGTGCCTCAGAAAGGGATTTGGGTTCAGGTAATATGTTTTTGTCTCCTTTCTGTCGGGGCATTCGCTCCAAAAGGTTTATTTCATGCCTCCAAGGACATCACGGCATATTCTTTGAACATGAATTCCATAAGTCACCTCAGTATTTTCTCCGCCGCTGAGCACTTCAACTTGTTGTTGCCGGAGAAGGCTTTGCTGTCCTCCCGATCTGGTGCCCTCCTGGGCAGGCCAGCTCCTTGACTCTCAAGGGTATCTAAGAGCGCATCTGTAATGTCCAGAATTGTTTGGAAGGAAGTATAGAAAATATACTCCGTACAACCGATCATGAAGTGACCATGCCTTGAATATCGGCGTCGTGGTGAGTTGATTGCCACCACAACGACGGTTCATAATTGACAAGTATCGAGAGGAAGTAAATGCGTTTAAAGGCACAACAGGCAAGTGTAGAGCTAGATGGAACGGAAGAGGGCTTCGGGAAACGGAGCACGATGTATGAATAGGAAAATTTTTGAGCCCGTAGCAAGAATAACTGATACAAGTGTATATGGGGCTGCATGATCGGTGATAAAGAACATCACCATCAGATTAAAGGTACCTACATAGTTAAGACTGGAAGTATCATCATCCGCATGGCCCAAGGAACATAATCATGAGAGCAGGCGACGAAAGGAACTTAGATTCTGCAAGCAGTCATCAGCTTCAACTAAGCATATGGCAACAACTATACTGCCATCCCATCCCAAACAAACCCCACTCCCAAGGAAGACAACCGATAAGAGGATCTTTATTAACAACAAAAAAAATAAAGAAAATATTACAAAAACCTTGACAGCTAGACGAAATTTCGCTTCTTCCGATTATAAGCTCTCTGATCTTTTAGCCATTGGCGGTAGCCCTGGACACTCCCGATCTTCTCGCCATAGTAATCCGGTACGGGATTCGCGAAAGAGTTGGCCGAAGGGTCGACTCGGAAGCGCTTGATTCTATCGTAAAACTCCTTTTCTTTCTACGGACAGCAAGAGGTATCACGTTAGCACCCGCTGCAGCTAGGAGACAAACAGACGAACAGGTTGCGGGACTTAAAAGGAGTGAATGGACATACCACAGCAACGGCACCCTTGTACTTTCTATAAACCATCCCCCAAACTGCATTACCCAAGACAGGGCCGGCGAGCCAGCCAACTGCACCACAGGCAACAGTCGTCAGGCCCATGACGACGAACGGGTCAAATCCCATGATCTGCGCGCCCAAAGCCTCAAAGTTCTGGGAGGCGATGACCTGTGCGCCTGTCGCGGTGGTGGTGAGAGAGGCAAGGATGGAGGAGACGAGGGAGTATTTTCTGCGGGAGGCACGGAGGGTGAAGAAGGAATTCCAGTCCAGCTGAACAGGAGCTTGGGCTGAAGAGGCGGAGGCGGAAGCAGACTCGTGTGCAGACGAGGAGGAGGGCGCGGCGGATGATGAAGAAGAAGCATGGCGTATGGAAGTGGCCCGGGCAACGATGGAGCTTGACGTAACTGTGATAGACGCCGGAGAAGGTAATGGCTGGCGAGGGATGAACTGCCGGAGGGCAGCTCTCGCGCTGGAGCTGGAGCTTGAGCTGGAGCTGGCAGCCCTTCGTTGCTGGGAGTAGCCGTTCGACGTGTATCTGTAGTTCCGGCACCGATCGGCGGCGTGGGCGATGGGAGAAGAAGGCTGAGAAGAGACGACGGCGAGGGAGATCCAGGTGGACGAGGAGGCTCGACCGCCCAGGACAGCGGTGCGGGCAGGGCAGGTCATAGCCGCCAGATGCATCGTGAGCTCAATTGCGGGTGCGAGAGTGGTCTGTTGTGTTCGTTGGGGGCTGCGGCAGCGTCTCGTTCTGCCAGGTTCGGTTCGCTCTCGAGAGAGAGAGAGAGAGATACTCTTTTTGCCGCCCGCAGCCGCAATTGGAAACAAGCTGATGGTCACGTGGAAATATCTTAGTCAGCCCTTTAAGGAACTACGTCGGGCGGAGCAGCAGACGGAATATCTATTTATCCTAAAGCCGACCGATAATTACCTAATCGACCACACCCACGCAAATTTGGCCCAAGTCTTCTACTCCGCAGCGGGGGAGTTTCAGCTCTCCCCCTAACACAAACCACCCTGCGTGTCTGTCTGAACTATCCATCCAATGTCATACTGTGTACTCCGTACGGTCGTTCTATAGGATTAGTGCTGGGCTCCCTCGTCTAGCTGAGTTAACCTAGCTACCCTTCAGTGACCCGTTTGTCGCTTTCTGCTCCTTATCAAACTGGGCCTCGGACATGGCTGGCTTGTGCTCTCCGTTCACCTTGGAATAGAGCCACTTGAGCAGGGCCGTGTTTAGGGTCATCAACGCAGCGCTGACGAGGAACAGCGCCACTCGCCACGGTGTGGTCAATTTCTCAAATAGGGGATATGGATACCTGTTTATTTTGGGAAAAAAAGAAAACAAGGGGAAATCATGGAACACGGTCATTAACTGCCGGCGCGGCCACCTTGGGGTTCAGGAGTGAAAAACTTACCATCCGTTATACCTGTAGCACTGCTCGACCCAGAACCAGTAAGCAAAGGCGATGGAAGTAGCTAGGCCGAACGACGGCATGGCCGTGATGGTCCACGGAGGCGAGAACAGCAGCAGATCAATTACCAGGGCCAGTGCGGGGACCGCGTGGAACCCGAGATCTGTACCAGTTTGGTCAGTTACGCTCCTATCTTTGTCTGCCCAAACGTCAGAGATCAACGAGTCGATGCTTCGCCGTACCCGGTATCAGCGCCGTTTCTGCCCACTCTGGGACAACCAGCTTCTCGTCGACCTGCTCTGTAGAGTCAGCTATGCACACTTGAAGCGAAGAATTCCAGAACCATGGATGGGTGCTACCATCTTTAGCCCCCAGTACAGCACAGCTATCAACACCTCAAGCGGGGTGCCACACACGGATAGTATATTCTTGACGAGGAACAGCCGGCGAGATGAGAGCAAATCGGCAGCCAGGCCCGCGGTGAATGTCATGGTCGCCAAGGTAATGCCAATGATCGTCAGGTACTGGAAGTGCCAGCCATATGCTTCGTTTCTATGACGGCGGCGGACGGACAGTCAGGACACCGTGTACTCGATCAAGCTCCGATACGAATGGGCACTCACGCAAAATTTGGATGATCGACCATACTACCGACAATGCATGTAAGCCAATGGCCACCCTCAACGAGTCCTTTTATTTTAAAATCTTCACCGCAGGCGACGAGTGTCAACTTACAATTTGAACGACGCGATAAAGCTCGAGAGACCGGCTAACTATGGACATCATAAGGCAACCCAAGTCAACCAGCGTTTTCCTCACCAAGTATCATATGATCCAAAGAAAAAGAAGGATATAAAATCGCCATTTGACATGCTCCTTTTAAAAAGTCAAAGGAGAGCGGTGGGTAACCTCTGTGTACGAGAGGAGCCCCAACTTGCCGTCGTAGACGCTAAAAAGTACTAACATGGACCATTGCGGAAATGCCAAAAGACGGCGAAGAGAGCTTCTGAAGAGGATGTCTGCCTTCTGCGGCAACAGATCCTGCGGTGGAAGCCATGGCAGGTTAGAGTGAGCAGAGATCGTGCCTTGGCCGTTTTGTCCGATGCAGTCGTTTCAACACGAATAAGTATTATGTATTTTAAAGAAAATCACTAAGCCAAAAGAGAGCAGAGAAATAGCAGATTAGAAAAAGATTGACAGTAGTAAAATACAATTCCTGTCCTCCAGAAGCGCCAGCACCGAAGAGCGAAGAAGTAAAGAGGGGAGAAGAGAAGGAAAAGCGAAGAGAAGACGCCGACGAAGGCGCAGCAAAAAGGCACTTCTCACTTGATGTCATTTTTCAGCCTTACGGATGGATCCGCTGCTGCAAGGATCACTCAACCGTCCAGGCGCACCAGAGGATCAGGGATGCCGCTGGTGTATAAGCCACTGAGAGACTCGCCGTTGCAAATTTGCAATTTTTCGCTGCCCTTTGGAAAGAGGCAAAACTGTCCGTCTTTGGGGCTTGGATCTCCCAAGGGTAAACCAGGCGGTTGACTCTCAGCTGACATCGTTCTGGCGCCCCCCGCAATCTCTTGTCTCCTGCGCATCCCCAAGAAACACCAGGCACAAAGGCATAGTTAGCCGGTGCGTTGCGCCATCCCCACACAATCCTTATCCCGCTGAGCGGTGACTCTTGAAAATTTTTATGGGCTGTTAGCTCTATACCTACCGTCCCAACCTCGCAAAGAGCCTCTCACGCTTTCCTCCTATCCCAGATCCCCCGCACGTCCTCCGCCACCCAGAATGGCAGACACCAGACATATTTCGTACGGTCGCGGGGGCGCAGGTATGGATATCAGACTCAATGAACCTAACATCGTCTCCGTTTGACACATGTTGATATGTTTTTGGCTAGGGAATATGTCCCGAATCTCGCCCGCACCCGAAACCGTCGGGGACATGTCCTGCCCAACAATCAAAGCAGAAGTCTACACCACCGGCCGAGGCGGCTCCGGGAACATGGTCTCCAACGATGATCCTGAAATCACAAGGGCAAGGCAAGATGTTGATGTTCCCCCGCCAGTTGTGGCGGGAACAGCCGACGAGGGATGGTTTCACACCGGAAGAGGTACGCAAACGGCCATATTTATCGAAACAGCCCAACCACAAGCAATACTTGATACATCTACTGATCCAAACACCTGCCAATAGGCGGCGCAGCAAATATCTATTATCGCTCCACTCGCGACATCATCCACTCCGGGGACGACGCCACTGCACACGCTCCCATCGAAAAAACCGCAAGCAACTCCAGCAGCCTCGAGCGCAAGAAGACAGACAGCAGCCTCGAACGGATCAAATCAGCCAGCCAGGAAGAGAAATCACGGAAGCATCCCTTCGCGCAGTTCTTTGCTCCCGGGCATCATCGCCGCGATCAAGAGGATCGTGAACGCTCGAAGAGCAAAGATCGAGACAACGCTTAGGTGCCATGTGGCATATGCTGTGTGACGATTATCGGACCGTTGTTATTCGTATTCCTCGTCTATGAATTTCGAACTGACTTGCGTCGCGATCTAGGCCTGTGTGCCCGATCTAGTCTAGACTGGTTCTGTGTATATGCCTTGATATATGATATTCATGTTGGTATACATAGGTTTTAAGGAGTTTTGCCGGCATTTTTTTTTTTTTTTTTTTTTTTTTTTTTTGGTTTTACTGCTGTTGTTTCTCAAAGTTCATGTATACATGTACTTACGAATGTTTTAATGCGGGGGGGGGTGATGGAGTCGCTCTCTTCATTTCACTTCACTCTTTAGATCCATTTTCCTGTGTCTCCTGAGCATTTCTAATGTTGGTGATACTGCATGGAAGGCTAAATAGATTCTCTGACCAGTATCAAAATCGATGCGATAGGTTATATTGACCTTTTTTTTTAAGATATAGTGCAAGTATTATATCGAATCTTTACTGGATATTGCAGGCACACTGGACGTCAAATCCCCTCCGACATGCCTGATCAGCGCCTCGGTGTTTTATGATTGGTATGGCCTTGTCCTCGAAGGCTATACATGTACATCGTGAGTCCATACATACATATATATACGTAGGCAAAGTACGCAGACAATAGTAGATTGGTGTGCCCTTAGGGAACCCATCATCCAAGAAACTCACCGTTGGCAAGCATCGTCCACGGTAAGTTCTCCTGCCACGATCGCTGCATTAGCTTACGCGCTCGTCGAATCTGTATGTTAAGTCAGTATCAACGGGACTATAAAAGTAAATTGAAATAATATAGAATAAGTAAACAAATAGAAACCGCAGAGGGGGAGTAGTATAAATACAATACGCACCTGTTTCATCCCCACTCCCTCGAACCCTTTGAATCTCGCACGAATCGCCTGCCTCTGGGTCGTATCCCGCGTCTCGCATCCTGCGGTGAAGAGCGGTAGCAAAGCACACACTTCGGTGGCTCCACCGCGCGAAACGCGATCTAACGAGTCGATCAGCATGTTTATCGACTCCACGACTTTGGTGTCGGAGGCACTCAGGCAGAACACTCGTCTGTACAACTGCACGATGCCTGTAAGGCGGTACGAGTCGTCCAGCGCCGCCATATCACCAAGCTCAGGAAGGCCATGGTGCGTGCGGTGATGGTAGTTGCGCGAGCGAGACGATGTCATGTCGAACAACAGTCTCTCGGCGCGCGTGAGGATGAGCGGAGGAGGCGTCCAGGCCGAGATGGGACGACCTGTGACGGGGTCAACTTGGCAGACATCGCACTCGTGGATCAGTTCCGCAAGACGGACGAAGAACGAGCGGCATTCGAGGGTGAATCCCGTGAAGCAATCGATCTCGAGATCACTTCCGGGGTTCCGGGGCTCGTCAAGAGCGACGGTGGACCAATAGTTGCCACCGAGCAGGGGAGGTTCGGTTTGCCGTGACGACAAGCTACCCAGGATATCCAGGTATCCGAGCCAGCGACACAGAAAGAACTCCACCTGGTCTGACGAATACTTTACCTGCATCTGCCTCCTAGCCAGGAACAGCCCGCGGGCCAATTTTAAGTGGCTTTCCCATGGAATTGGGACCTCGAATGTGCTGGGGCTGATGATCTTGAGAGATGCTAGCATGATGGCGGTTGCAAGGTTGGTGTCGGAGATCTTTTCGTTTGGGTCATCCAACGCATGGCGAAGTTTGGGGAAGACATGGCGGGTCCAGTGTGCAATGCGGTTATACGGCTCCGCGTGACCGAGCAGCCGTGCGCGATGGCTGGCGGAGTACGCGAGTAAGAGGTTCAGAAGGTTTGTATCTTGTACGGCCACTGTATCTTCAGAGTTAGAGACAGCTCTCCTAGTATGATCCAGTTTAGGGGGTGAGGGGTGGGGGAACTTAACTCGCTGGTAATACGTTAGAGAATGGATTATTGGAGCAATCGTGGGGCACCAATATCTTCGAGGTGTGGTTTAGAAAATGGTAAAAGTACAATAGATTGATGGGGCTCTCTTGCAATGCGGCCGGCAAGGGTATTAGATATCGTGGGATATTAATGGGTACCGGTCTAGCATAGTATCCTCCCTTTGTAAATAGAGCAGTCACTCTCTTCTTGGTATCCCGCTCAGAGTCGGTCGAACTCGACGTCATGGTAGGACTAGTGACGGGGCAGGCCAGCTGCAGCGTGGCAATCTTGTACTCGATTGCCGCTGAATCGTCGTTTCTATTGATGTCAAGGTCGACGCGGCCACAGTCGAATCCAAAGCTAACCGCTGTTTCGCTCGATCCAGTCACGATGACAGAAGCGGAGTTCTCCCGGGTGGTGGGACAAATATCAGCAGATGGCGGCAAGGCCCCATCGGCAATAGAATGTGACAGTAATGACTGTACGGACACCCGCTGGAGTTCAGGGCGCGCACTCGCATCCTGGTGACCAAGTACCTGCTGGTGGGGGGGATAAGCTTCTTCAGAAGTCGTATCAGAGGAATCGGTGGATGAAAAGAGGGTTCCTCCAGGCGTATTGCTTGAATCGCGTGGGCCAGATCCTGGCTGAGAGTAAGATCCCGGGCTCATCACATCTAGATCCTGAAAACCCTGTGGTGATATCTTAATCCTTTTGGCGTCGCGATGAGATTCTCCGGTCAGGGCCCGCCTGGGATAAACTGGAGGAGAGCTGAGCGTGGTCTGCAAGAATGTAAATGGCGGAGAAGTGCTCGTCGGCTGAAACGGGGAGATCCCTGGGCTGGCAACTGCGGAGTCAGAGGGTGAAGGATACGGAGAAAGTTGGACCTGGGGGAGTGTTGACGAGTCGTCTCTCGGGAAAACAACGGACGCAGGCGATGGATAACTGTTCGCGGTCGTATAATTCGAAGCCGACTGAGGATATGTTGTTGTAGTCCTTGGAGGAAGATGATGATGACGACGATGATGTGCAGAGAATGCAGGCATCAGACTGTGATTACTTTTACCGTTCTCTGTCGGCGAGGCATGACGGACACCGTCCCCCCAGAGCTTGTCGTTGACAAGTCGATTAGGCTGCACACCCTCGGCTGTTGGTCGTCTCGACGGAGAGGAAGCGGATGCCTGCATGGCCACTTCTCCTCCTCCTCCTCCTCCTCCTCCTCCTCCTCCTGATGCTGTTGCAACTGATTTGGCTACAGTCGTTCCCGTCGATGACGGATTTACCGATTTCTTCTTCCCGCGCCCCTCCCAGTTCAGCCTGATGCTGTAGTCGCATGTGTCGCCCTGTCTCTGGCAATTGACGCAAACCGGCTTCTCCTCACCACTAGCGCAGGTATCGACCATCAGCATCACGGCGGGAATTTCTTCCAGCGTCGCTATCTCAGGAGCCAACGCAGATTGGGGGGGAGAATTCGCACGCACCATTTCACCTTTCTCGCCTTGCAGGGCCTCCCGCCGAGGAAAGACCAGTCAGCAAGGGTCAAGACAAAAAAAAAAAAAAAAAAAATGAAATGATTTGGTGATGGGCGGGTGAATACCAACCAGCAGCCATTCCTGCTTCTCCTTTTGGGCTCTGGAGCACCGGGCTTCTTTGGTCGAGGCATTCTCTCTCGGGCGGCCGCGGGGAGGAATGCGGGTTCAGTCGAGCCGGGGCGGAGCGGGGAAGGAAAGGGGAGATCGCGGCCCAGAGAGAGCGGGAAGATCGAGCGTGGCGGGCTTCATCTGGCAGACGGCGGTGGTGAAATTGTCGGGGCAGAGAACTATACCCCACCAGCTACATATGTAGAAGAGAGTTGAGACGTTGTTGAGGCGGTCCCGGTAGTCAGGTAAGTACAGTACTGCTGTGGGCGGTCCACGCACGCGATGAGGTTGTCGACGAGCTAGTAGTTAGTTAACCAGTTACGGGGTACTTCGTACATGGTCGACGAACAGGGGAACCGACGGGGGTCAAGGCTTGGGATGGCTAGCGACAGCGCAAAATGACCTCCGTGGTCGACACGACAAAACTACATACAGGGTTACCGGCATCTCTTTCTGTCTGACTGTTTTTTTTGGTCTTTGGTATTCAAAAGCATTAACTAGCGGACTGACTGCCTACGCGCCACAGGCGAAGCAATGGAGCAAGTCAAACGAGGTTAACTCTCCTGCTTCTGCTGGCCCTTTTTCTTTTCTTTTGGTTTCTTTGTTCCTTTGTTTCTTTGTTTGTATTTTATTTTATTTATTTAATTTTTTTTTTTTTTTTTTTTTTTTTTTTTTTTTTTTTTTTTTTTTTTTTATATTTTAAACTCGAGATTATCACAGAGTACTCCGCACTCCCATACATAGTTAAACTACTTGACACAAGAGAACCCAGTTCATGAGTTACCTGCTCCTCGGGTGGTTTCACCCGCCAGTCAGATGGCGCTGAGAGAGCAACGAGTTAGCCAGCGGGTGGAGGCCGTTTGGTAAGTTAACCGGCGAATCCAGTTAAGCTTGTGGCAGCGGAGTCCCTCGTGATGCCGTTCCAAGAAAGATATCATCATCATCATCATCATCATCATCATCATCATCATCATTATCATCATCGTCATCATTACAATCATCGTCGACTTGTCCTCTTTATGTACCTGCAATGGTAGGGGGGGATAATGGTGGATAACCCTAATCCCACGCCATAAACCCTATTGATACGGAGTACGGAGTACACGATATCTAATTGAGCTGAGGTATTGCCAAGAGAACTCCAACTATCAAAGCAGCAAGTAATTACATAGTAAAATCTAGTAGTTAAGAGGTTGGTCCGCCTTCATTGCATATGACCTGCCAGCATTGCTCACTCATTCATTGAATCCAGGACTTTCTTTATAAAGGCAGATTCAATTGAATTCCAAGCTTCAATAATGACTTTCTTGAGCTATCAAGTTGATAGGTGCTCAGTATACAGAGTAGTGGTCATTATTTTTGAATGTTCGAAGAGACACATCTGACACCATAACTAATGTATGGTAAATGCTTAGTTATCTAATTTAATAGTTAGTAATCATAGATTATTATGGCGAGGGAAGATCAACATCTTGCCAAGGAATTCTAATGATTGATATACCCATTACGAGTTCACCCGCTAACATTTTTGCCCCCAATCGTCGCAACTGTAACTAGAAGAGGTGGATTACTAACACAGCTAGCGCGCTGGCCAATTCACCACTAGCGGCCAATGGCAGCACGGAACTTAATGGTTAGGTAATTAGAGCAAGGGCAAATTAGTGTGCCTGTTTGCGGGTCGTTTTCTTGGGTTTTGGGTTTCAGCGGCTTTATATATATTCCTCGCTGACTTGGGACTTCCTCGATGACCCCGCATGATATAGTTTAAAGAGGCTCTCTCTCTCTATCTCTTTTATACTCTGGTTGATGATTCTCATGGAAGATTACCTGATTTAAACTTTACAAAAGCCATTGGAGGCTTGGCATAACTGCCCTAGTAACACATTTGTACAGAGTATAACAACGCCAAAAAAGCCTCACCCCCATACAGAGTACAACAGCTAGTTAGTCACCCCATTCACCGAACTGGGTGGTTTAAAGTTACTTTCTCCCCCCACTTGGGCAAACTCACGAACGAACCAGCCAACCCGACTAAACTGCTCTGCCTTTGCCATCGGCGTTATGTCAGTAAAACCAACTCCAGCAAGACTCGACTGACGACTCGACCAGCTCGACCTGTCACTTTTCTGTCGCTGCTGAACACTAACTTAAGCCTTGAGAATCTCCGTCGCCCATATCTCTTGACTTCACTGCCCGTCGTGCCAGCCCCCTGCTTGCTCGTCCCTATCTCTCTGACCTCTTTCTTGCAACTCTCACTCCCACACTCTCCTCTTTCTCTCTCTCTCTTCCCCCTCTTCCCCTCTCTACCTCCCCTTGTCACCACTTTCTTAAACTCCACCCCGCCCTCGACCATGTACCCGCTCGAGCAGGACAGGCCTCACGGTACCTTCGACCAGGTCCGCCCCTACGCTCCTCCCGCTCCATACCCCGGCGCTGGCGCTCCGCCTCCGCCTCCTCCACCTGCCGCCCGCGCCCAGCTCCCTCCCGCCGCCGCTCGCCCTCTGCCTCCCGTGTCCACCGTCTGGAATGGCCGCATCTATAGTCTCGAGGTCGTCCAGCAGCCCATTCGCGCTCGCATGTGCGGCTTCGGCGACAAGGTTCGTCGCCCTCGCCCTTTTTCCCGTCCCGTCTATTCATCGCTGACTCGCCTCGTCGCTACGTCTAGGATCGCCGCCCCATCACCCCTCCGCCGTGCGTCCGTCTGAGAGTCCTGGATGCAAACACCCACAAGGAGATCGATGTCACGTATGCCACCCCACCCTTATGGAGATATATATATATAATATCCCGTTCCTGAACCGGGCTCTAACAAAACATCCCTGCTGGGGACCAGTGAAATCGACACGTCCTTCTTTGTCCTCTCCGTAGACCTCTGGAATGCAGACGGAAACCGCGAGGTCAACCTCGTCAGGCACTCCGCGACCTCTCCCTCCATCTCCACCGCCAGCCCTTCCTCCTTCCCGCCTCCCGCCCAGATCCCTCAATACCCCCCTTACGGCCACCCTTCCTCCATGTATGGCCAGCCCGCCGCATACCCCCAGTACTACGCCGGCCAACCCGCGTACGGCGAACCCAGCATGCCCTACGCGCCCAACCCGGGCCAGATGTACTATCCCGTCGCCCCGGGCTACTACCAGAGCTCTCAGGGCATGACGCCTCAGTCCGTCCTGCCGCCCCAGCTCGCCCCTACCCAGCCAACCGGCATGTTCACGCGTAACCTCATCGGCAGCCTCAGTGCGAGCGCCTTCAAGTTGACAGACCCCGAGAACAAGCTTGGAATCTGGTTCATCCTGCAGGACCTAAGCGTCCGCACTGAAGGAGCTTTCAGGTATGGTTTGCAAAACCCACATCTTGTCTCCTTTATATATATATATATATGCATGCTACTCAAAACATGTTCTTTTTTTTTCTTGTTATTTTTATTTTTATTATTATTAACCTCTGCTAACTCTGCATCCGATAAGACTGAAGATGAACTTCGTGAATGTGGGCACGGATCCCGCCGATCCTTCCAGCGAGTCTTCGGGCCCCATTTTAAACCATGGCTCCGCCCCCGTGCTAGCAAGCGTCTTCTCAGATGTATTCCATGTCTTCTCCGCGAAGAAGTTCCCCGGCGTCATCGAGAGCACTCCACTCAGCAAGTGCTTCGCCATCCAGGGAATCAAAATCCCCATCCGCAAGGACGGCGTCAAGGGTAGAGGCGCCGCCGCGATAGCGGCTCTTGCAAAGGATCGCGACGGCGAAGGAGAAGAGTGGGATGAGTAGAGAATGGCGATGAAGCAATAAATCTTGCATGGAATGGCGTTGGGGACCGGTGGGCTGAAAAGGTTTCGGTTTTCTTTGTTTCAACCGTCTGTCGAATGGGTGATCTGTCAATTTACGCGCCTGCGGTCTTCTTCTTTTTCTTCTTTTTCTTCTTTTTCTTCTTCTTCTTCTTCTTCTTCTTCTTCTTCTTCTTCTTCTTCTTCTTCTCCTTCTTCTCCTTCTTTCTCTCCTCCTCCTCCTCCTTTTTTGTAATACTTCTTTTTAATATGCTTGCTCTTTTCTTCTGGAATGCTCGTTTATATTGATACACCCACTGTATTATTAGCTACAGCCGCTTTTCCAGGGGTTTCAGGTCCCGTCATCGAGGACGCATTGATAATGTTATCTTTTGCTTCCTTTTCTGTATTCCCCAAGATGTCATATTCACATAGGAAATCAAATTGCTGACAACCCTGCTATCGCATACTTCGACTGCCCCTCAGGTTCTCTTAATCATATTGTCCTTTTGTTTCTGGACCATAGCTGATCTCTGTTCCTGTGCTCATCTGCAGCCTCTTCGCACATGTATCAACGTATGGATGTATCGGGTAAGATCAGGGATTTAAGTTGGATAAGAGAAACGCCATGCAGGCTTTGTTGCCTTGGTCGCGTCCGTAGGTCCTCCGTGCGATGTCTTCCTCGACGAGTCGAGTCCCGAGGCGAGATCAATATTAGGCGCGCCCCAAAAACTGTGATTCTTACAATGAGTCGCCTTTTTGAGACATCCCTCGTTTGTTCGTTATCTAGCAAGATAATTACGTGGACAAATTATCGAACCCAGGAGTTATCCCGCTGGCATAAACCAACTTGAGGTTTCCTCTTCTTTCTTGTTTTCTTTTTCCTTTTTTCTTTTTTTTTTTTTTTTGGATCCATGGAACATCCGTATGGAGCACATCATCCATTCCTCCGGAGGCATCCGTCGCCCAACAACCGTCCATCGGAGACAAAATCAACCAGTGGTGGGTGAGTGGATTGGATCGCGCACAAATGAGCGTTCCTGTCATTGAAACCGTCATCCAGCAGGACGAGGTTTTGAGTTTCGCAACGGCCTGAACCTACACGGCTGAGACATGGTGCTGCATGTTATTTCTTATGTTTAAAAAAAAAAAAAAGAAAAAAGAAAGAAAGGAAAAAGAAAAAAGGAAAGAAAAGGAAGGGAAAATGTCTCGACTCAGGAGTAGTTACATATACGAGGTAAATTGGAATAAAACGTTGGCTTGCTGGTTGTTGGATGCTGAACATCCTTGTATTTTTCATGAAGCGAATCTCAAAAGACAAGATGCGTAGATTTTATAGGGCATGATGGAGGAGTCTTCGATGGGATCACAGAGGACTCACTAACTAGCCTGAGCAGCTAGACCACGAAAGCCGAAGATTCTTCGATAGAACGCTATTCACGCCCGAGAAGACGGCAATAACACAAAGAAGGGTCTCAGCTACGGAGTAGAAAATATATATATCTCGGATCACTCAACGCTTCGCGTAATTCTGATGCCACGTGTACCCTCCCTGGTCCAACCCATCCTTGATAAGCTGCTGTACATGCTGCATGGCATCCTTTGGTTCTCGCCCAAGCAATTCGCCCATCAGCGGATCCACCGTCTTCGCTTCCCCCGCCGCGATCGCATCCATGAAAACCAGCCAGGAATCGAAGAACTCCTTGGGCTTTCCACCTCTGCCGTCCTTCGCGTCTTCTGCGGCGAGGATGCGCGGAAACTCTTCTCTGGATACCTTTTCGATGTTGATCTCTTGGTCGCAGGCCTGGGCCACGGCCTGCACCACGTCGGTGAACGTGTACGTGCGTGATGCCGTGAGGAGAGCGATGTTGTTCTTGAAAGACAAGGTTGCAGGGTCGCGCATCATCAAATTTGCCGTGGCCTCGCCAAGTTCCTCTCTCGACGTCAATGCCACTGGCCCGTCGGCTGCCTGGTAGATCGTCGTGGTGCCCGGGTACCACGAGATAAAGAAGGGGAACGCATCCGTGTAGACGCCCATACGGACTGACGTATAGCGCAGTCCGGATCTGGCACAGCAGAGTTGGTCCTGTCAGTACGCAAATAAATAAATGGGGCTAATTAGTTACCCCAAGAGTGTCTCGAGTTGGTAGAATCTTACTCTTGGAGCAATCGTTCCGTCACCAAATGGGCCTGTTGCAGCCCAACCTTGCTGTTCGATTCGTACCCGCCAAAGGCCAAACTGGCATAATACACCTATTCCTATGGGTCAGCATTCACCAGGAAAATCACCTCCTTCATTTCTTCGGCGGATCGTCTAGCGTACATAGTTCACCCGGGCTTCTTTCGCAGCCTCCACCGCGTTTGCATGCTGCTTCTCTCTCTTTGGGCTATCCGGCTCGGGGCTAGACACGAAGAAGAACCTTTCCACCCCGTTCAGGGCTTGCACCATCTGCGTCTTGTCGTCAAAATCCAGTGTTCGGAACTGGATGCCGGGATAATCACTCTGCAGCTTCCCGGACGCTTCTTGACGGGAGGACGCGGCTGCGATGCAGGACCTGTCGCTGGGAGAAATGTGCTTGTAGAGGGTAGAAAGCACGGAACCGCCCAGGCCGGACGTTGCACCGGTGATGAGGAATTTGATTGCAGACATTGGTCTTCTGTTGCAGATAGGAAGGTGGAATCAGATAGAGTACTCCGTACTGCTTGAACAATAAGCGGTTTGTACTCCCTTCTTAAGGACTGAACTGGAATATGATAAATCTTCAAGAGTCGAGGAATGCAAAAAGGGGCCTTTTATAGCCATCTGGTATTGAAGACGGTTTCCCCTTGCCTCATCCCGATTTGCATATTCCCAAGTGGATTAATCATCATCTCCCTCCGCTGTATGATTGTTGACGCGTTGCCGTCGCCGAGTACAAAAAGTGTCCGGGCAAGCTGACAAAAGTCGGATGAACTTTCAGCTAACTTATTCAGCCATTGGTTGATCGACGATTTTCTCTCCGGCTTGCCGCAATTACCCTACAGGCCGTGAAACAGCTGAGTTTTCGCGGAGGGATGACAAGACTGAACGCCTCTGATGTTTGGCCTTCCTTGATGATGGACTGTACTCGGGATGGAACCGTGGAATTGCCCCGTGGGGACAGCGTCGGGTTCGACACGATCCCGCAGGCCATCACACCCCCTTGTTCGCTGCACACACTCTCTGCCGGGTGCTCCGAAGGACAGACGGGCTTGACCGTCGTATTCGTTCGTGGTCTCTCTCGAATGTCCCATCCGCAACCGGCAGAGTTGTGGCGCGTGTTGGCAGCCTGTGGTCAGCTCGCTCGCCGAATTTAATCAACTAGTTTAGTTATCAGCTCCGCCCTTGGCTCGTCTCGGACTCTCTCGGCTCCAAAACCACCCCCGCTCTCACTCCGCAAAACCGCGACCAAAGAACACATTTTCAGATTCTCCTTCTTAGCAAAAAGGAAAACTATCCACTTCTCTCTAACAATCTATTCCCCTCTGTTTGAGCGCCAATGGCTTCCAATCCTCCTCAAGAGTGCTGCGGGCGGGGTTTCAAGCACGAAGGCAACCCCGCGGGAGAGATCAAAGAGATCAACGGCAGTGCGTTCTTCCTTGTCCGATACCCAGTTGCATAAAACCAAGAAGAAAAATCAAAAGAAAGATATAGAATGCAAAGTACTAAGCTCTGTTCGTCAAAGCCCGAACCTACTTCTCCTATCCCGCAGGGAACCAGAATCCCGACCATGCCATCCTCTACCTCTCCGATATCATGGGCATCTACTCCAACAGCCAGCTCCTGGCCGACTCCCTCGCCTCGCAGGGCTATCTGGTCATGATGCCCGATTTCTTCCGCGGGGAGCCATGGACGCTTAATAGCGACATGTCAAAGCTCATGGGGTGGGTACGTAACTTCCAGCCGAAGGACATCGATCCCATCGTCGAAGCGGCCGTCAAATACCTGCGCGAAGAGAAGGGGTACAAGAAGATTGCGGCTGTTGGATACTGCTTTGGTGCAAAGGTTAGATCGATAAGCACAGAACCTCTTCCTCTCTACGCCAGTCTCCTTTATAAAAAAAAAAAAATTAACGCCGTGTACCCAGTATGTCTGCCGCTTCATGAAGCAAGGCAAAATCGACGTTGGCTTTATCGCGCATCCTTCTTTTGTCACTGATGAGGAGCTCGCTGGGATAACGGGTCCCCTATCCATCGCTGCAGCAGGCAAGTGTCCATCCATCCACCAACCTGGCGCATTTGTGCCGCGCAGGGCAATTTTCCATACATATGTCGATTCTATACTGACCCCTCGCACCATTCCCAGAAACTGATCGCGTCTTCCCCACTGAGCTCCGGCACAAATCCGAGGAGATCCTTAAGAAGACCGGTCTTCCTTACCAGATCAACCTATTCAGCGGGGTTGAGCATGGATTTGCTGCGCGCGCGGACCTGAGCCAGAGGCAGGCCGTGTTTGCGCGGGACCAGGCGTTCAACCAGGCTGTAACTTGGTTCAAGTGGCATCTGTGAATGTTATTCTTACAAATCTGTCTGTCTGCTTGCTCCTGGGGATTAGCATCTAGGTTGAATGTAGTACGGGGTGTATGATGCATGTGATATAGTCATAGCGTGCCCAGTATGGGCTCCTTTTACAAGAAAAGCCAATGCGTCTGGGGCCATTAGCCAAACGAGCTCTCTACAAGTTTCGTGCAATGAGGTTCTTATAGGTGTCCACCATGAGAGCTAACCGAGAGATTGAAGGTTTATAGAACAGTACCCGGAGTATGTATGTATGTACAGGAGTCGATGAAAGGGACAAATCCGTATCGAACAATTGTTCGCGAAATACGTCCGAAATGCAAAGGTGTTTTGAGACGAAAGTGAAAAAGGCCCCTAGCTGGAAGCAAGGCCGACGACAACCGTCCAACGAATCGCTAGACATGCTCCCAGCAAAAGTCCTGGGCGCCGGAAGGAATATTCTCAGCACAGCCGTTATATTATTCCTTGCACGTAGAGACGAAGAGACTAGAACGATGACAGGGGGTCGACAAAAGAAGTAAAAGGGGGATCCAATCTACCAACTCCTCAAGCTAAAGAAAAAGGAAAATAAAACTGTCGATAAAGCGCTATGCAAAATAGAAGAAGTATGCAGGGTGGGCAGACTAAGGCGCAATGAGTACATATCCGATCCAACCTATCCATCCGATGGGCAGCCTCCTCTACCCGAACCGCACGTCACCGAGAATGCTAACCCAAGAATCAATGGAACTAGATCTGTCCAAAATGGTACACGCAATGGGGAATCAAAATCAAAAAGAAGTAAGCTATGATATGATCAGCAATAAAAGGGACGCTCAGCCTCTAAAGCATCAATGTTGGGGATGGATGAAGTATAAAAGGCCAAAAAAAAAAAAAGGAAAAGAAAAGGGGTGCAAGCGTATCAAGGATACTCCGAAAGAGGCTCCAAAAAATAACGTAAGACATATTAGGGCGAAGTTCCTTACCGCCGCCGGCCCAGTCACAGAGGATCGACAAACTTCGTGCGATTTTAAATATCGATTAGGGTGACAGGTTTGCTCTATGTCATTATTCATCAGGATTGTAAAGGTTCTGGTTGAGGATTTTCGTCATAGTAAACATATGCACGCGATCTTGCTTGAAAACAGCACGCATGCGCTCATCACACCTGATTTGACGACGATCGGAAGGATCCTGGAGACCATGGTCGTGGATATACTTCCATATTCTCTTTACCGACTGTGGTCGAGAGAGCTGTTTCCGGAGGGTTAAAACGGGGTTCAATTCACCCATGGACGGCAAGTATGTTTTGTAAATTTACTTACAGAGATCTCACCGTCAAAAAGGGCAGAAAGCGCAGGAGATAGATTAAGCGGTTTCTAGACATGATAAGCAAAATTTCGAAAAGGAAGGGAAAGGAAAAGAAAGGAAAAGAAAAGAAAAGAAAAGGGGGTGCACATGAATTAGGTGGTACTCACATGAAACCCTCCACTTCTATTGACTTCCTTTTTCTTTTCGGACCCCGAGCCCTCAAGCTCAGAGTCGTCTGACGCCTTGACCTTTTTCGACGTTTTGGATTTGGCTGCGGGCTTTTTCTTCTTGGACGGCGCGGCTTTCTTCGCGGCTCGGGTTGGTCGTGCTCGCGAGTTCTCTTCCGCTTGCAATTTTGCGGCAAACGCGGCGTCGGCGTCAATGAGGTCAGACTTCCTTTTCTTTTGCGGCGGATATCTTTCGGTCCCTTCCGAGGGACTTTCCGCGTCCGGGCTCCGTTTCCTGCTGGACGGTCCCGCCGACACGGAAGTGACAGGGACGGCTGGTCCCGTAGCGACAGCCGCAGTCATATCTGCACCCGATTCTGCCAGATCTGCAAAGATATCAAATCGCTGCATGATCAATTCTTTGATTTCGGCCTAGGCAAGATCCCTTCTCGTCAACACTCCCAACCCCAGGAGAAACGACATTTTGATGGGGAGGTCACCTTGTACGGCGTAAGATCGTTCCCGGTGGCATCCTGTAGGCCTCTGCGAATTCGCTTCTCGGAGACTGTGTTCAGGTCGCTACCGGCCAAGATCTCATCGATGATCCTGACGTAGGACTCTTTGACATCGGACGGCACTTGCAAAGCCAGCAATTGAGTTAGCCCTGGTACAAAATCCACGCGCCGCTCGGAACTTACAGGCCATCTTATAGGTTCGGAGACTCTTGGGCGGCACGAGGAGCGAAATATATGTAGGTAGTGGCTACAGGAGAGCGGTAAGGGTAACTCTGGATCGGCGCAGTTGGGGGTGTCTTGTCAGTCCAAGAACTTCAAGCGCAACGGGTGTCGTCTGCCGGCGGGACCTTATTTTCGCAGCGCAGTTGGGAGCGAAAAGGGTGGAGGGACGGAGGGTTCTGACGATATGAGAGAGGACTAATTTGGGGGGGGGGGGGGGGTTGGATTTTGTGAGAGAGCTTGGTTGGACGCGGCTGACTGGTTGCAAGGTAGGGGAAAAAAAGAGAGAGAGAGAGAGAGAGAGAGAGGAAGGCCGGGCGAGTGAGACAGGGAAACAAAGCGGGCCTAGAGCAAGAGGGCGACAAAGAGAGCCATTCGAGCAGAGAGACGAGGTGCAGACCGGCAGCAGCAGAAGTGGTCAATTGCTTTGCTCGTCGCACCCCAGCAGCAGCCAGCCCAAAGCAGCCAGATCACGCAGACACAGAGAGAGAGAGTGTGTGTGTGTGAGAGTGAGAGTGAGTGTGTGTGAGAGAGAGAGAGAGAGAGAGAAAAGAGAGAGAGAGAGAAGAGAGAGAGAGAGAGAAGAGAGAGAGAGAGGAGCGTGGACAGCAGCAGCAGCAAGCCGGAAACCAAGCAACCCAGAACGGCAAGCAGAGCGACGGTGATCGCGAGATGCACGGCGGGGACCAATCAGCGGCCCGCAGCTCTCCCTGCTGAGTCATCATCAGCCGCACCCGCAGCCACATGGAGTGGCTAGTGGCGTATATTGCCAAATCTGGTTTAGTCGCAAAGCGTCATATTAATTACGTAATCTTTGTTTTTTTGGTTCGGACCCTAAGCCCTAAACCCTAAACTGGCCGGATCCAGCCTAACCAGACTGGGACGGCGATTTTTCGTTTTCGGCGGCAGAACGAAGCCAGCAAGCAAGCAAGCAAGCAGAAAGCAGGACGACGACGTTGGCGACGACAACAACGCAGCGGTCAAGAGTAGCTAGACGCCGTGCTTGCCGAGCGAATAGCCTGCAGTTATATCCAGCGCGACCCTCACCTTTCCCCTTGTCGTTCCGTGTCCCTGTGAGATCCTCCAGCCATCATGGCGCCAAGTTTTGATACTCTCTCGGAGCAAGACCTCCACGAGGAGGAGGTTGAGATCGACTTTTCAGGTACGTTGAACCCTTTGGCCCGACGTCGAATTTGCAAACAGACCCCCCCTCCCTTTTTCGCGACTCCGCTAATCTCGCCTTTTTTTTGGGACTTCAGATCTGAAAGCGCAGTATGAGGTCCGACTGGAAGAGGGCCTCGACGCCTTTGTTGTGATCGACGGACTTCCAATCGTCCCCGAAGAAAGCAAACCAAAACTCATCAAGTTCTTGTTGAAAAAATTAAACACCGTCGGCAGAACGAGAGAAGATGCCATCTTCATGCCCCTCAACGAGAAGGGCATGTCTGAAGGGTGAGGCTAGACGAGACAAGCCCCTTATTCCCCCCCGGATCGTGGTTGTTCAATGCTGACGGCTGTAGCTTTGCCTTCGTTGAATACGACACCCCCGAACAGGCAATCGCCGCTACGAAACACCTACACGGCACTCCCCTGGATAAGAAGCATACGTTGGCAGTCAACAAGCTGACCGACATCGATCGCTATGGACGAGAGGGCCGTGTCGACGAGGAATATACCCCGCCAAAGATCGAGCCGTTCCAGGAGAAGGAGCATCTGCGATCCTGGCTCGGAGACCCCAACGCCCGTGACCAATTCGCCATGTACAGAGGCGACAAGGTCGGCGTTTTCTGGAACATGAAGAACAACCCGCCCGAGAACGTCGTCGACCGCGACCACTGGACTCAGCTCTTCGTGCAATGGTCTCCCCTCGGTACCTACCTCGCCTCCGTGCATCCCCAGGGCGTACAGCTGTGGGGCGGCCCCCAGTTCGGCAAACAGAAGCAGTTCCCTCATCCTTTCGTTTCTCTGATGGAATTCTCGCCCGGTGAAAAATACTTGACTACCTGGTCCAGCCGCCCGATCCAGCTTGACGGACCTCCCGGTGCGCTCTCCTACGAGGAGGAAGGGAAAAACATTATAATCTGGGACATCACGACCGGAAAGCCACTTCGATCATTCGTTTCCCACGAGCTCGCTGCTCCCGCTGGGCCTGACGGTGACGCTGCCCAGGCCAAGAAGAAGGTGCAGTGGCCGGCCTTCAAATGGTCGGCCGATGAGAAGTTTGTCGCTCGCATGCTCCCAGGCCAATCCATCTCCATCTACGAACTACCCCGCATGAATCTTCTAGATAGAACATCGGTCAAGATTGAAGGTGTCATGGACTTCGAATGGTCCCCAGCGACCGTTCAACGTGAAGGAGTCAAGCAGTCTGAACAGCTACTCTCCTTTTGGACCCCTGAGATCGGTAGCAATCCTGCCAAGGTCGGCTTGATGAGCATCCCCTCCAAGGAAGTTGTCCGAACACGAAATCTTTTCAATGTTTCCGATGTCAAGTTACATTGGCAATCCCAGGGAGCATACGTCTGCGTCAAGGTCGACAGACATTCCAAGTCCAAGAAGTCGTTGGCCACCAACCTCGAGATCTTCCGTGTTCGCGAGAAAGGTGTCCCCGTCGAAGTCGTCGACTCGCTCAAGGATACCGTCATTAACTTCGCTTGGGAGCCTAAGGGCAACCGCTTCGTTCTCATCACCACTGGAGAGGTACCTACTGGCACCGCTGTTCCCCCGAAAACTGCAGTCTCGTTTTTCGCTCCCGAGAAGACAAAGAGTGGTGCTGCTGGTAACTTCAAACTCGTTCGTACCATCGAAAAGAAGACTAGTAACGGCATTTACTGGTCACCTAAGGGTAGATTCGTCGTTGTTGCTACTGTCCACTCTCAACAGCACTTCGATATTGATTTCTGGGATCTCGACTTTGAAGGCGAGAAGCCGGAAAATGAGAAGGATTTGAGTGCAAACCTGCAGCTAATGAAGACTAACGAGCACTTTGGCGTCACTGATATTGATTGGGACCCAACAGGTCGTTATGTTGTCTCTAGCGCCAGTGCCTGGACTCACTCGGTTAGCCCCCATGTTCCTTGTGTTTCCCTACTTGTTATTTCTTGCTAATCAACCTATAGCTCGAAAACGGGTACCATATCCACACCTTCTCCGGAACCACACTCGCAGAACATGCTGTTGAGAAATTCAAGCAACTAGTCTGGCGCCCACGACCTCCAACACTTCTCTCCAAGGAGGAACAAAAGAAGGTCCGACGAAACCTCCGTGAGTACTCCCGCGAATTCGACGAAGAAGACAAGTACGCCGTCGACATCGCGAACACCGCTATTGTCGAGATGCGTAAGAGACTGCTTAACGAATGGACCGCCTGGCTCAAGAAGGAGAAGGAGATGGTCGAAGAGGAGCGTGAAGTTCTGGGACTGCCCAAGTACGAAGAAGAACCGGCTGCCAAACCTACTCCCGGTGCCGAAGACGATACTATTGTGGAAGAAATTGTGGAAGAGATCATCGAGGAATCGGAGGAGATTGTTGCATGAAGTTATGGTTTTATATGACGAGTTTTCCTTTTTTGTTGGGTGGGGGGGGGGGAGCTTATGTTGAATTTCATAAAATGATGAGCTCAATTTAGGCGGTGAATGTGATTATTTATTGCTGAAGAGAAATTGGAAGCGATTATCAGGTAACTATCATAAACCCACTTCATGGACACTTGGTTCTACACAATTCAGTTCTCTTCGACTCAAATAAAAAAAAAAATGTCCAGGTGCCTGATTTTAGGGACTATCACCACCTTGTTCTGCAACAAAAAAAAAAAAAAAAAAAAAAAAAAAAAAAAGAAGGAAAGAAAGGAAGAAAAGGGGGAAGGGGTCGGGGTTGGCTGGCTTAACAATATGATCTCTAGTCACTTAGGAAAAATGTTAATTGGAGGTAGTACGATAGAAAAGCCAAACATCATTCCAAACACTTCAACGAGCCTTGATGCGAGTAACCAGCGAAAGTGCACAGTATACACCAGTTACTAAGGGGAAACTTCATGGAAATCTGCGTGCAATCTACAAGCCTTTTTAATTTGTTGGTTCTCAGACAACAACATCCAAGTTTACAAAAGCCAGGAATGTACTCCATAAATATAAGATCAAAAGAGCTATCGAAGCTGTGGGTATGTATGGCAGGACACATATGTCAAGTATATGAGATGATTCATCCCACCTCCTTTCCCCTTAGCGATCTCGTCCGAGCTGCGAGCGACGATAGCTAGAAAATTGGTTGGTAAGAAATGCCAGGTACAAGGGCCCAAAAGCACTGACTTCGTGTGTGCGGCCCTTCGTATCGCCTGCTTCCCAAGGAATACTATATAAGCACCCAGAGTGATTGCGCATCGGAGTACTGCGTTACCACCACGAAATACGGCGTCGTTGCGGGATATATACACAATTGAGCTTCCCACTTTATCAATCAGCACCCAACAGCAGAGCTAGAGTGACAGCCAGACAAGAGGGAGAACTACGAATATGTCGGCTAGGCATCGCGGTTCGCAATCTCCTCAAGATACACATACACACACACACACACACATATGGGTATATATGTCAGTAGAGCCATCTGAAGTTTCGCTGCAAAACGAACAAGGACTATACCCTGTATATAGTGACTTCTAAGGCCACCAGGCACGCTGCGTCCACTGGGTATACGCGACGGCCAACCTGATAGCACAAGTTTTGCGGCGGAAATGCCCAACCTCCAGCGCGTGGGTAGGTTTGAGGGCAGCCAGTTTGTAGATACGAGAGATCTCGTCCCACAAAGAGGATATTATTTGGAGGGAACAGTGTCCGTTAACGAGCAAACAATTATACTAGATAGCAGAGCCGGCGAGGGACCCGGATCGTTGCGCCTAAGTATAACACGTCTGGAATATTGGGCGGCGAGATGGCGGCGATGTAGCGGCGTATAATCTCGAAAATATGCTAGCCGAATAGGAGCTTCTCATCAAGCCCCTGAACCAGGGGTTTCCGGGTTCGCGTTTAAAATGGTTTTGGGTCACCATGTATAAATAACAACGGCTGTCGGTGAGAGGATAAAGAACGACCACCCTCCTAAGGGGTTGGATCCCGAAGGGAGATTTCGTTATCAACGAGGGGAAATTGTCTCTCGAGTAGCCGGGGATATATGGATATTGAAACGGAGGATCAAGCAACCATGGATACTCAAGGGCAAGAGAAAGCGACATTTCGATTTGAGAGAAGCCGAGGATGGTTAGTTAGTGGAGCTGTGGATGTGCTAGAGATAACCGATCATGGGTTTTGAAACGTCGTTTATTTCGAGGGCTGGTTTTGGGCTGAAGCACGCCATCCCAGTTATGAAAATCTGTGGCGGCGTTATATATATATTATGGTCAAGTTTCGGACGTCAGTAGCGATATATCAGACGGAACGCCTGCAGTGCCACGGGTGGATTAGATGATGGTATGTTCGGAGGCCGTGAAATGAGCGCCCAATGTCACCATTTATACCTATAACCCGGTATAACCAGCCTCTAAGACCCCACTGGAAGCGAGTAGGATGGTAAAGCAGTGGTCCTTTATAGTCCTTGTAGCGAGGTTCACAGGGTAATTGTCTTCTCCATATGCGACCTGATGAGCCTCAGAAGCAAACAGATCACTGGCAAAAGATTGTTGGCACTTGCAGGAGACGGTGCCACCGTCCTGCCAAAAAGTTGGAAATCAATCTATGTGACATTTGCGACAAACATTCATAGTTATTAGACAGAGATATCCCCTCAGCAAACAAGACAGTGTTGTTTGTCTGGCCTCCTGTAGAACATTTCACGCGACTGTATTAAATGACAATCTTATGCAAACTTACTCGCAAACAACTTCTCAACCCACCTTGTAACCAGAGGCCAACGGGGCACGATAGTTCAGTCCTCCTCCAAAGGATAATGAGCCCAAAGCCCCCTCGAGCCAATCTCACCAACATGACCATCCGGATCTTCAAAGTAGACACTCTTCCCTCCGGCTTGCCAGTCCATTCTTGACCTGATCTTTATGCCGAGTTTCTGTAGCCTCTCATCCCACAGCTTCACGGCTCCCGGGTCGGAAACGGCAAAGCAGAAATGCTGTCTAAGATTCGGCACCAAGTCGTCACTGGCACTCGGCCGGGCCGACATGAGAACAGAGGAAAGCGGTTTCGTGGGGCCATGCTTCGGAATCATACCGCCGGGTCTGGTGCGGTCATCGTCTGTTCCGCCCAGTTTGAAGAGTAGAAGAGTCGTGGTGCCGAGGGCGAAACCGGCCACGTTGTCCTGCGAGAAATACGCCATGTCAACTCGCGAACGGGCTTTCTGGTTAGACTGGCCATCCCACCATGACAATAAAGGGTGGTGTCTGAAGCACGTCTGTGTAGAATTTGGCTGACACCTGGACGTCGCGCACATAGAGGACGGTTTCAAGGATGTGGGATAGCGGAGGGGCCGAGGGAACGTCTGCAGAAGCCATGTTCGCTCGGATGATCACAGGGTCTCTGTCGTCAAGGTAGCTCAAGTCAAGCGCTTCCTCGTAGACCAGAACACCAGGCAAGCTCCCATCGCTCTCGTCTTCGACGAGCTTTTTGAACCAGGCGGGCTGGGTCGAGCCTTCGACATCCAGCAAAGTCCAGCCACTGCTGTTTAGTAGTGAGCCCGTATTGCTGTCGACTCCGCAGTTACATTGACCGACCGACGGGATCGACGCGGGTTCGCTGGGGAGAAGCGTCGCGTGTCCTTGTTCCTCAAGGCATGGCTGGATTCGTCATTATAAATCAGCGAACCTCGCGCGAATAAAATTAGCAATCCGCAAAGTTCGCGCCAGCAATCGAACCGGCAGGCCACGCTCACTCATAATCTCGCAGCAGGATGTCCGGTTGGGCCTAAATATCCGGAGAAGCTGGACCCGGGCTGAGATGACCGTCGTTGGATGGAGAAATCCACTTTTGATTCCCCGCGATCAACAATTGCGTCTAACTACCCTACTATTGACATGACGCGTTTTATCGGAGCCCACAGCAGCCAGATCTCTCACGAAGATGCGGGGAGAAGGCCACAAGGCCAGGTTGACACCAGATAGGACTTAACTAGTCAGCCACTGAGTTGATCACTATCCCTCCTAACATATATGAATGTTAGTGTGTCAAGTGCATCAGAGTGGCCCTTGGAGATATTAACCAGTGCTTCACAACAGCTGACAAGCTGCTTGAAGATAGCGTCCGCCTTGGTTAAAAAATGCCGCCAAACAGCTAGGCACTCGCTCTTGTGAATTCTGACAGGCAGCCATCTCCTTATTCATAGTTTGGCCAAGGAATTGCGGTGGGAAACAACAACTATATTCGCATATATTCGCAAACTAAAAGCAGCTAATTATATAGGTGAATGCTGCCGCCGGAGGGACAACCCACTCGCTGACGCAGTAGCCTGTCTGCTACTTCAGCTTACCAGTGATCCATTTAGTGAAGAAATCCAAAGCTACCGCTGGCTGATCATAGGGGACAAAGTGGCCAGCCTGGTTAATACGCAATAAGGCAAGATTCTTATAGGACTTGAACTTGCCGTACTTCTTACGACCTATCTTGATATCCTTCAGCGGCTGAGCGACGAACTCAGCCCTACCAGGCCAGTCGAGAGCCTCAACCCACATCCGGTTGCCAATCCAGCTGCAGGAATAGTCCGCATCTCCAGCATAGATAAGGACTGGGATCTTCGCGAGGATACCGGGAACCTTGCGGTGGTATGGACGAGACGTGTCACCGCTGTTGAAAAAAGCAAGGTGAACCTTGCTACTGCAGGCTTCGAACCTACGGACTTCGGCGCCTACGGCCTCAATGACGTTCGGCTGGTTGAGCCAGCGGGTGATCCAACCCAGGATGGGATAGCAGCGGTTGGTCCGGTCCTTGCACGGGTAGCGTATGTCGTAGATATTGCGGGTGGGTGGGAAAAGGTTAATGAAATATGAGTTGCAGGTATTGGCGGAATTGATGCAGGTGCGCGTGTCCATGGTATCGTAGCAGGCTTGTATGGCTTGCTGGCATTCGGGAAGAGCGCGTTCTAGCTGGGTGCAGATGCCTGGGCTGAGGACAGCAGGGTATCCGCCCTTGCCGCAGCCCGTCGGTTCGTAACCGGCAGCTTGAGTTTTAGGGTCAGTAATTCCGTTACCAATCATGATGGACTTGAGGTTGATGCCTCCATGCTCAAGGATATCCGAAGCATATTGAGGGATGTAGTGGCCTGCATAGGATTCGCCAGCAATGTGCAAAGGGAGAGTAGAGTACTCCGGAAACTGCTTGAACCACATTTTCAAAAAGGCATAGACGTCTTTGGAAGCCGAGACGGTATCGCTGACTGGGGTATCACTATAGGAAAACCCCGTATTAACGGGCTGATCAAGGAAAAGAATGGAGGCTTTGCTGTTCCATGCATATGGGTTATGCACAAGCTTGAGATTCTGATCGACTCGTGAAGGGCCGAGTTCCATGAGAAGGCCGGTCATAGATGAACATCCAGGGCCGCCATTGAGCCACAACACGATAGGGTCCTTCTTTGGGTCATTTCGAGATTCAAAGAACCCTTTAGTGGGTCTAAAGATCAGCATTAGCTGATCAACAAGGAAGAGAGGTGGCTATACTAACAGAAGAAAAGATGCTTTCCGCTGCCATGGTCGTCGAGATAGCCACTGTATTGCTTGACACCGGGATCAACTCCAAGCTTGCTTGGGTCGACAACTTTCACTCTGAGACCGTACTTTTCAAGGCTTTCGTGGGCACCGCCGGCGGTAGAGAAGCCTCCCTCGATGCTAGATCCATGAACAATATGATCCCACTCGCTGTCAGATCGCCGAAAATGCTCTCTTGGCTTGACGAAGAAATCAGACACCGTTGCATTGGGGATGGTAGTTTCGATCTCCCTCCACAGGGTCTTGCCTGCTTCAGAGAGCATGTCAACCGTAAGTGCATGCTCAGTCGGAGCACCTGCAACCATCGTGGTCACAGCCCCAAGAATGAATGTTGATACGAGGCTCCTCATGATCACAAGCCACGCAGCGGTACTCAGACTACCGATAAATGGGGTGCTCCGGAATCGGCGAGATTGTTAGACGTGAAAAGCTCTGGGGCCCGGGGGGTTTTCTACTGGTAACATGGAAATAAAAACGGAGCAGGTGAGCAAGGACTTGGACAGTCGATTAGTGAACGAGACAGCGATTTACCAGCCTTAAATTATACCGATCATGGAGTTGGCAGCTCCATCACATGCGTGACCGCATGGAGATATTGGTCGGTAAAAGCTAACTGCTCTTAACGTGGATGCAAATAAACGGTAGCCGTGAAACGAGGCTGCACCGGCCGCACACTCCAACCTCCCGTAGGGTGTGATCAGGCGCGACCCCAAAGTAGAACAGCTATATTGACAATATCCCCAGATCGGTGATAAGGTGGCGGCGCAAAGTTTCGGAACATCCGCCACAGCAGGAGCAGAAGGGACGGATATCAAGTAACGTCCCTGAAGTCAACTCTACGCACAAGGTTAGGGTTAAGGAGCCTGACGACTGTCTCGCGTAAAGATCTCCTCTGCTGAGGTTAGGATGACTATCCTAGCACGGCTGGACGCGTAGCCGTCTCAAGACGCCTATTCAATCCATGAATGACGAATCATACCATTCCACCATGGCATCGGTATGCGCATTCACGAACTGGCCCGTTCGCGAGTATATGGGCGCCTTGAAAAGACAACAGCCTTTTCTCAGCGTCAATCCGAGCTTTCAGAAGGAAACCCATACCTTTTACAATATCAGTGACCTACCGGTACCCACGGGCATGGCCCATCGTAGGATTTGGGGAATAGCGTAAAACCGAGGCAGCCATGGCGGCACCACTGCGGATCTAATAATTCGACTATGTGGAAAACCGTCCCAAGTTCTTAGAGCTCCGCCTGATGGGATCCTTTGCGACAGGAGACAATCCAGAACCTGACCAGCGGGCATCCCAGCGGGCATCCCACGGCGGGAGCTCCGGTACCTGGCGTATCTGCAGAAACTTCTTTGTGCTTCGGTTAAACCCTGCATTTCCACGGAGCATGGAGTGACCAATGGATGGACACGCCTCCGGGCACCGATAATGAGGCATTTTGTGAGTAGATGGAATTGTTGTCTCACAGCCTTCTCCAAGAAATAAGAGGGCAACAGGCGATTATCAGTCTCCAACATCATCCCACAAAAACTTCACTATCATCGGACATATCGTTCCACGTGAGGCACTGGTCTTCTTTTTCCTTTTTTTCGTGTTTTTCCCCAGCCCTTTTTTCCATGGGAGAGTCCTTGAGACGACGTGGAGGCCGGGTCGACAGAGTCCCACTGACAGATATCTCCGCAAACAAGCTTTTTTTTTACTTTCTTTTTTATTCTTACGAAAAAGCTAAACTGGCGTGTGGTGTGACCAGCTAACTAGCTCAGGAACCTCAGCAATCGGCGTGGTGGGGGGGGGGGGAAGGGGAATGTCGCGCAGCTGGGCTGAATGTTGCAGTTCAACCAGGCAGAGGGCGTGAAGAGCGAGCAAGCCCGATTCCAAGTTCGGTGCGTGGCGCTGCACCGTGGCTGGGAGTTGTGGCGGCGAGGAGATTTTGGGATCTGTGACTGGCTGGATTTATTACGTAATAATTTCTCCGCGCCAAGCCTAATAGAGTTTGACCCCAAAGCTTATATATCCACATGCCAACCCGTTTTGGAATAGCGTGTACTTCGCAGCCGAAAGAAGAGGGTTCTCAACGTTAATTTTTAGAAATCGGCTCCGTTGCAAAAAAATACTTCGCATTTTGCTTGCGCTATTATTTATTATACGTCGCAGTTAGAGATCCTTTGCCCAAGCATCCCGCGCCGTACGAAGGGTAAATTTTATATCATAAAACAATACTCCGTACTGTAGTGTGCGATCATAGAAACTAGAATAATGATACATACATTCAAAAAAAAAAAAAAAAAAAAAAAAAAAAGAGGAATAGAAGGGCCAAGGCTGTACCTTGCAAGGTACACAGGGCCCGCAGGGTATCAAAAGCCAAAAAGGAGGGAAAGTAGAAAGGGGCCCGTGGTGGGTAAAGACCAGCTTGTTGGAACATGGAAACGACGATACTAGACGTGAACTGGTTAAGCCAGAGACAGCGTTAGGAGGGCTTCATCTCTCTAGCATGGCTAATAGCACAACATCAGCCCAACATCAACCCTATATGACAGACAAAGAAATCATACACATAATACAAAAAAAAAAAAAAAAAGATTTTTTTTTATGATGGCTGGCACTATCTGGGGTGATTCCCATTGTGAGAGCTGAATGACTGCCGGCCTGGTGCTTCTCTTTCTCCCAAGGAAGTCAAAATTCGAGCCGCTTCGTGAGCTGAACAACCGTAGATGTTAGCAATAAGACCCCTCTACTCTAGTTGATAGAACAATGTAGATAAGGGGCGGGTAAAGGCATGCTTACATATCTCCCACGGCCGCGCCGTTAGGCGATCACACACAATCGCAATCAACTGGCGTAACTCGGTTTTCAACATCCTCCCATCATCCCGCGAAGATTCCGCACGCGCCAACTCCCGTTGATACATATTATTCAACGTAGTCGCCGCGACTGCCGGGATTGAATTTGACGATAGAATCGTAGACGCGCTAGCTGGCCCTTTTTTCTCGCCGTCCTCTCGTTCCAAACCTAATGTGCGCGCCCAAAGGACAAGCAAACCGAGAAAGGCGCCATAAGTCTGCCATAGCGGCCGAGTTTCCGTTGTCGGAAAACCTATGGTGCCAGTGTTCAGGGAGGTTTGGCTGTCGGGTTCTTGTAGACACAGGCTGACTACTTCCACTCCATGAAGGTACGAATCGTGGCTCACGGGATCGGTCGATACGAGCCGAGAGTATGCGGCTTGCGCGCATTGGGGGGTAACGGCGCGACCTGAGGAGTAAGCGCTTCCTGCGGCCATCTGGATGTCCGACAGATTATTGCGAAGAAGGACCGCAGAGAAATGATACATAACTTGAGCGCACCACGACACCCTAGATTTTCTATCGGATTCGGGGAGTTTGTCGAAACAGGATCGCCAGTGTCGCAATGCTTCGTCAAAATCAGCCACTTTCAGGCTTTCAGTCGCGGACGTCATCGAAGAGGCAACAGAACGATATTTAGAGTCGCTTATTGCTGCGGCAATCCCATGGATGAGGAGATGTATTGAGAGCGGGTTCGAAACATTGAAGCACTGCATAAATTCTCGCTTATGGTCCGGATCTCTCATTGACATGACTGATTCTACAGCCGAATCAAGGCTGTAATAACGAGATCTCGTTGACTTCTTTATCTGTCGCAGCTGTGTCTCCCATTCCGCTGCTGTACGTGCTTCCCACACAGCCGAGGGACTTGGGAGCGGGAGTTTCATCATCCCCACGGAGAGTAAAGCGTGATGTGAGAAGAACACGCTATATTGAACATCATTCGAGAAGATCGTATATGCGATTCTACATTCAGTGAGAGGCCTGTCCAGCTTTTCTCGAAGTAGTATATATATACTCACCTAATGATGGATTCTCTTTGGGCCCAGTCCTTCCATTTCATCTCAAGGGATTGTCGGGATCCACTCTCCGGTCGGAAACTTTCTGTTAATAGATTATTTCGACGAGCAAGCTGTAATGGAAAACGATCGTCAGCAAGCTGCATTTGCGAAATAGGCTTCATACGGTTGGGGATCGGTCCATACAGTGACAATCATACTGTGCACGATTTCCGCCATCTCATGCTGTTGCCGAGCCATCGTATACGTACAAATATGCTCGATAAGCACCCTGTACGGGGTCACTAATCAGTTCAGAATGCATATGCAGTTCTGGGGCGCCACTTACAATGACTGAAGGAACCACATCTCCACCCGAGGACTAGCTAGAGCTTTCTGTTACAAAGGAGGGAATCAGTGACATTTCTCACCAAGCATCATTTAGAGATTTCGGCACACTTCTACTGTTGAACCCCATATGTACTTATGAAGCATCTTCCCGGTTTCATATAGTTCGGGAGACCCGCTGAGAAACGATCCAAGGCTGCATAGTGCAAGAAGCAGCACCGACGGACACGACGAGATCTCGAACGTTGGGCGGTGAAAGAGCGGCAAATATATATCACAGTAGTCAAGTGCCTGGTGCAGGATTTGATTTATTTGGGCAGGATATTTGAGAAGACCGGTTAGAAGATTCTACCTGTTTGGTAAGCGTATTGTCTAATGACATTAAGAGCGCCGCATCACTCACGGGACAGTCGGCTATAAGGCGTTCATGATCGCGGATGGTGTATTGCGGGAAATCAGATTGAGTGGTCGGGGCGTCTAAAGGCTGGGAATAAAATCCCTAACAAGGCCCGTCAGCGGCATGACGTACCCAGAGGAAAAGGGGGGGAGGGTTTGCAATACTGTAGGTGAGGCAGGGCCGAGGCTACCGCCAAAATGGAGGTTAAGATAGTCATCAGGCGGCAGATCGAAGAGACTCGCGCCGTGAAATAACCAAGTGTAATCGTCATCGAGCACCGGCGCGGCCGCAAACGGTTGTGGAGGCAAATGGTGCGGGAGGATGCTGGCAGACGAGACAGGATGCTGGGGTATAACGTCGGCGGGCTGCGCAGGGCGGTAGAGCAGAGCGTTATCGGAACTTTGGGCCGGCGGAGGGGGCAAGGTGATCGCATTCGAAAACTGAGTCATCGACACAGGAGCGGTGGCTGCGACGGGCGGCGCGGTGACGGTCTGCGGGTCGTGAAGCTGGTTCTGCGAGAACTGCCAGTCCCTGGCAGTCGGGGACTTGAGCTCTCCCGGCGACTGCTCGTGCCCGCTATTCCCAGCGGTGGGCGACACGATCGGAGGAGGGCTGGAGGTGGAGTTCGACTGGGACTTCGTCGCGAGCTCGGCGACCTGGCCGCGCTTCTCGTGTCGTCGTAGATGGGCATTGAGGAGATCACTGTTGAGGAGATGTCAGGTTAGCGCCTCTTGGTCTGCATTTTTTTTTTTTTCCGTGCTCTGTCAGAGGATGCTCTCTGTCTCTCTCTCTCACTTGCGCGTGAAGCCTTTCTGGCACAGGTAACAGTGGAAGGCGGCCTTTTTGTCTGTGGACGATAAAACGGTCCTGGTCAGTGAACTTCGGCCTCCGGATCGAGGGACGCAGGGGGATCAACGGGGACAGCCAGACGTACGGATGAGGGTGTGCCGATTGAGATGTTCGCTCCTCAGGTACGACTTGCTGCATCCTTCATGCTTGCACTGATACTTAGGGCGATTCCGTTCCATCGTAGAACCCGGTCCACGCTGGGATCATCGTCCAGGGGCCGGAAGGGACAGTGTTTCGAGGCGGACGGGGCGAAGGAGGATGATGCCGCACAACAACAACGTGAACAGCCAGGCTGGACGGCGAGGAAAATCAAAATCAGCAAACGGAGACCAAGAGAGGCCCATCCCCTGTTGGATGGCAAATGTTCTTTGCTTTTTGCTGGAGGCGGGGTATACATCATAGCTGAAAAGCCAAAAGGATCTCACCAACCATTAAGTTCGACCGCCTTCTCGCTAAGTTTGAACAGCCGTTCGGGATGCGGTCCGTCGATAATGTCGCGAGAGCAGGCGAGCGGGACCATTATCGCTCCCAATGCCATGTCCGGGTTCCCGCCCGCACCCTGCCTTTCGTATCCGGGGTTCGTGATGCTGGAAGATCGGCTGGAGGCTTGACAGCGTCCCAAAAAAAAGAACGCTAACTAATTAGTTAGTTAGTGGAATGGGACGAGCTGCGGTGTATGTTAAGACATTGGAATTACAGAGTAGTTATTTTTATAAACTGCTATTTGGTTTGGACGCCTCGCCGCCACGGTTACGTCGTGAGTTAACTATCACTAAGTTACATCTCAACGCCAATTCTCTCACGGCCGTTCCGGAAGCACGTCCTGTCAGAGTGAAGCAAGCCTGCGACAGACCCCCCCCCTCTCCGCCGCCGCAAAGCTGCATCGAGGTCAATGCTCCAGCCTTGGAACATGCGTGTGTTCCGATGCACAAACTCCGAATGTGAAGATCATTTCATGTCTTGGAAATCTACAGGAAAACCTAACTAATGCGACCATTCCACAACCGGCCCGAAGATTGTGCGAACAGCCGCCCGTTTTTGCTGCAGAAGCAGCCCGACAAGAGGCCATGGCCAGGCCAGAGTCCAACCTGTCTCCGCGACAGCGGCATGGGAGAGTCAGGGCCATGCTGGATTGACTTGACTGCAGTTGAGTTAAGAATTACCTATGGAGCCGTCCTGCTTGTTATTGGGGGACGTCTGACCGCAAAAACGAAAAAGAAAAAGAAAAAGAAAAGAAAAGAAAAGAAAAGAAAATAGGGGAGTCGACCACGGAGCACTGTATATTGTATTTCGTGCGACGGTCTCCGGGCTTCCTCATTCATCCGCGCATTAGTGCTTCGTCACGGCAGGAGAATTCTCCAGGATACCTGTGGAACGATAGCTGATGACCACGAGGATTTCCATTCGAGCAACTCGAATCTCGCGGTTGAATTCATGAACCCAACGGATGAACGTCAGATCCCCGGCCCGGTTCTCCATGCCCGAGCGGGAAATGGGTGACACAGGGCAAGGAAATTGAGATTCTTGCGCATGATGTCCCGGTCTCCCTGGTTGCAGGATGCGGCGGCAGAAGGACTACGAAGCTCTGGTTCACCCGTCGCAAGAATGCCAGGACGAAAGCGCATTATGTAGTTTCTTTGCGACCCGGAGACGCCGGTTGTGTCGAAGAGCAAGGAGTCTGATCGATTGAGGGTGAGGAAATAGATCTCAGGGTTCTCATCACAAGGAAGTTGGTTTCGCCGATAGGACGGGTCCTCCTGTGTACACTTCGTTCACCCAGGAGGGCTAGCCGTCCACTGACTTGTTACTTGCGTATTCCGTCACTTACATATCGTGGAACGGTTGCTCTGCCGGATCGGCAACGTTCGAGGCCCTATCCATGGAACAACCGGACACAAACACGGGGTGTCCTTGTTAACTGAAGTCAGAAAATAGGTGTTTGCAGATCCTTGTCTCTTCGGAGGGATTTTGTTACTAGTTAACGAGTCAGTGACTCCTTTCAAGCACTGGCCGTCTGCTGACTGACCCATGTCGAAAAGCGATATCGTCCATCGCTGACGTCGTGGGTTGTCTGTGCCCGCTTTTGACGATCACAATGGGTTTTCGTGCTTCCCGTGCTTTCAGCTGCAGAACATCCATTGCGCACCCTGATTTGTGAACTCCGCTTAAAAAGTCTTGGACTATGGACTTCTTGGACTCAATAGTTTTGCTGGGTGTGGAGCTTGATGACCAGCAGCCCAATCACAGTTGCTGAAAACCGCCCAAACTCAAGAGAGCGGGCTCTCGCCGACGAGATGGTTGACCCGCGAAAACGAGTTGCCAACCTTAACATCTGTAAATTTGTGATACATAAGCCCTCCCGAGACCCCGTTTGCTGAACCTGCAACCGTTGCAACGGCGTGGAGAATGAATGGCAGCTTTTCAATTGCGTATGCCTTTCGAGGGAGACCGCTTGAAGCCGACTGCCCTTGGAACGGACCGATGCTACTTGCCCGTCTCCTTAAGGTGGTGTGCCAATCTGGAAACACCATCTTTGCAGGGCTGGACTTCTTAAGGCTAGCATTTTGACATTATCAACATGGAGAGGGTATTCCCCCGGTTCTACACCGGGCTAGAGCTGTTCCGAAGAGACTTCCTGGTACGCTCGCATGGCAATTCGGTGGGCAAATATAGGCACCTTAAGCTCACCTATGATCTAGAACCAAAGCAATGACCCTAATATTGGATCGGCCAGGGGCGATAGCCAGTCGCCAGGATCGTCAACCTTGAGCGACCTAGGGGTGAACGTGTCAACTTCTGCAGCAGCCCTACTTACTACATTCGTCCCGGCTTTTGGCTTGGCTGTTGTATGGTTTGGGCTCTTCCTCGTCTGTCGGCGGACGCAGCGCCGATTCTACGCGCCCAAGTCATACTTGGGCCACCTTCATGACTAGTAAGTCGCTCGTCTACCCGCCACTGTGTATCGTTCTAACACTTACCGGTAGTGAACGGAGCCCAGAGCTCCCTTCTGGATTTTTTAACTGGATTGGAGTGTTTCTTCGACTTCCAGATAGTCACGTTCTTCGTCATTCGTCTCTAGACGGGTATTTCTTCGTTCGCTTTTTGAAAGTGATGTCTGTGGTATGCCTCGTCGGTTGTGTCATAACCTGGCCAATCCTGCTTCCAATCCACATCGCAGGTGGTGCTGGAAATAAGCAGCTGGATGCCATGAGTTTCAGCAATGTGAAAAATCCACAGTCTTATTATGCCCACACAATAGTAGCTTGGATCTTCTTCGGTAAGGGCTTCAAACCCCGCGTTCGGAGACTCTGTTCATCCAAAACTGATGACTCGGCAAAAAGGGTTTGTTTTCTGTGCCATTACCCGGGAGAGCATCCTGTATGCTACGTTGCGGCAAGCATATCTTCTCTCTCCCTTATATGCGAGCCGGATATCGTCTCGGACAGTGCTATTTCTGGCTGTCCCGCAGTCCTACTTGTGCAAGAACAGGCTGACCAAAGTTTTTGGAGATTCAGTCAAGCGAGTTTGGATCACCAGCGATTGTTCAAAACTGCAAAAACTGGTGAAAAAGAGAGATACATTAGCGTATCGTTTAGAGGGGATAGAAACAGGGTACATCAAAAAGGCCCATGCTGCGCACCTCAAGTCATCAAAAGGTGACATAAAGGATCCGGAGTCGTCGATGGAGACTTCTCCCATTGAGCTCGAGCAAGGGAAGGAAAGTTTTCCACCGGCACCAAATATCGAACGGCCCATGCATCGACACCGATACGTTTTTGGCCAAAAACTTGATACCATTGACTGGCTGCGCTCTCAGCTTAAGGAGGTTATTCCTCAAGTTGAAGAGCTACAACAACGTCACCGAGAAGGACAAGTAAAGCCAGTCTCTGCTGTGTTTATCGAGTTTGGCACGCAGATGGAAGCTCAGATTGCCTTTCAAACACTCTCGCACCATCATCCGCTCCAAATGACACCGCGTTTCATAGGAATCTCGCCAGACCAGGTAATTTGGCCCGCATTACAGTATAGTTGGTGGCAGAGGATTATCCGCAAATTTCTTATCCAAGGGTTTATCGCCGTTCTGGTAATATTCTGGTCGATTCCGTCCGCGTTCGTCGGGTCGATCTCTAATATTACGTACCTTACCAACCTGCTCCCGTTTTTAAAATTCATTAATGATTTGCCAGGGATTGTCAAAGGGGCGATCAGCGGTGTCCTGCCGACAGTGGCGTTAGCGATCCTGATGTCTTTGGCACCGATTATACTGAGATGTAAGTCTCTAGATACTGTCCGGTGCCACCAGACTCCGAAAAAGCTAACATTCTTTTAGGGTGCGCTCGACAGTCGGGTCTGCCGTCAACGGCCCGAGTCGAACTCTTTACTCAAAACGCCCATTTCGTCTTCCAAGTCGTTCAAGTCTTCTTGGTGACAACCTTGACATCTGCAGCATCTGCAGCAACTAGCCAGATTATCAAAGATCCCCTATCAGCCAAAGATCTTCTCGCAGAAAATCTACCGAAGGCGTCAAACTTCTATATCTCGTATTTTCTATTTCAGGGTTTGATATTGAGCTCGGGAGCGGTCATGCAGGTCGTTACCTTTTTGGTCTTTAAGTTGCTGCGGGTGCTTTTTGATAGGACTCCGAGAAACCTGTACCAGCGCTGGGCATCTCTCACCGGTTTATCCTGGGGTACTGTGTTTCCCGTTTTCACGAACATGGTGGTGATTGGTAAGTGGAGCTTACCCGCAGCCTGGGAAGGATGAGGCCATTTCTGACAGCCCGCAGCCATTACGTATTCCTGTATTGCTCCAATTATACTTGGATTCTCTTCCTTGGGGCTATACCTCGTGTATCAAGCTTATCGATATAATCTTTTATTCGTCTACGACTCGACAGTCGACACCAAAGGACTCATATATCCGCGAGCGTTGAAACAGGTTCTGACAGGGATCTACCTGGCTGAAATCTGCCTGATAGGCCTCTTCGCGATCAAAGGAGCAATTGGCCCTCTGATCCTAATGGGCATCTTCGCAATTGTCACCGCACTGGCCCACATTTCGTTGAACGATGCACTGAGTCCGTTGTTGTCAGCATTACCGCGCACGCTAGACAACGAAGACGATGTCGAAGAGGAAATTATTGGTACTGGAAGCGAAGGCTGCTCCAGCAGCTCCATTAACGATCATGAAAAGGGTATAGCTCAGGCCACCGTGACGCATACGGAATTGATCGGTCGTCGGGCCCGACTGCGAAAGAAATTCCTGAAGTTCACAACTTGGTTACTGCATCCGAGTACATATGCGGATTATGCATCGCTACGAAAGAAGGTCCGACAAGACCCCGGGATAACCTATGGCCAGGAGGTCGATGACAATGCCTACTACCCACCATCAGTTACGAGCCCGACGCCGCTGCTCTGGGTCCCGCGAGACGCGAGAGGTGTAAGTCGGCAGGAGGTCGCGTTAACGAGGACGGTGATCCCGATTACGGACGAGGGCGCCCATCTCGATGAAAAGAACAAGGTTGTATGGGATAAGATCGGGATGAAGCCCCCGATCTGGCAGGAGAAGATATTCTATTAAAAATTGCAGAAACAAGAAAAAAAAAAAAAAAAAAAAAAAAGAGAAAAGAAAAAAGAAAAGAGAAGAGCCAACATCAACGCCAATGAATGACTGGCGGAGAAATTCGACAAATCACGCGCGATGCGGCCCCATTCCAATCATTGCTCATTGCTCCTGTCAATACGAAGTCGGAAAGTCAAGAGATTGCACTGGCGAACAGAACCCCGCGTGAGGAGATTAGGCCTTATTATTAGTATTATTAATAGACGATACCCCTGTTCACAGACCATGCTGCTGGACTTATTCGGCAGCTTTGCGTGGAACTGACTCGCATTTTCTTACCTTCAAACCAAGGACCGGAGCAGAATGTATTGCTTCTACTACCGGAGTAAGATATAGCAAATTTTAATAACAGACTTGATAATCCCGTCTCCATCCGTTAACTTCAGACAATATATCCTGCAACGCTTCGGTTGAGGGATATTTGTTCATGCTGTATCAAAAGCAAATAATATTAATTACCACTCATGACTCGCATGGGGCTCGTCGAGAAGCGGGATCTCCTCGAGGGAGTATTTAGCCCTAGCAGTAGGAGGGGTTTCTGGCAAAATCAGGTGTCCAATCTCCGAGGCATCATTTTATGACAGCAGGGAGGCACTATTGCCCCGATCGAGCCTAGCAGCGAGCAACACCCATGCACGGCCCTGGCAATCCCTCTGACAGTGGCGTTGGAAACGCCCACCAGCGGCCCGTAAGAGGTTGCCGGTTTGTTTAAGCTAGAGGCGGTAGCAGAATTGGGAACAGCCTTTGGAGAAACCGTTAACTGCAACTTAAACATCGAGCAATTGTCATCCAGCTGGATTCGCGTCAGTGATCCAAAGGTCTTGAAAATGGTCAGATGTGGAGTTGCATCCTTTCCCCGCCATCAAGGTAAGAAGAAGTCAAGACCCAAATGAGCTCACTCACTCATTCGTCGTTAAAAGGCGATCACTCATCTTTGCGAATGCCCCTGGCCATGGTGATGATTGTTAACTCGGACACCGGGATAGGACTCCTCAAGAGTCAGAATTAGGCTTCAACACCGTAAGCCAAGCTTTGGTCACATCTGCACGTTCAGCTGGCCAACCTGTTCAGCTGTGACTCCGACACTCTTCTTCTCCTCGAGATTCGTCGATGTTTTCTTCGTTTGACGTGCCAAGAAGCGCCATTCGATGACTCAGCAGCGTGCCGCAAGCTTAACTACAGAGTAAATAATAAATTAATCTTTACGGCGTCACGGCGGCAGACCAAAGCTCGTCATGACGGCCTGCGGAGACAAATTGTCTTGATAAAAAAAAGGATTGTTTGCTGCTGTTTTCCCTGTATCCTCACTTTTTGTTCGCTTCCCTCTCCACGCTTAAGTATCACTCGAACCAGGCGCCATGGCCGACACCACAAGTACAAACATCCCACCCACTTCTCCTCAGCGAAACAGGGGGTCAAACAGAAATCAGAGCGGCCGGAGAGGGCGTGGTGGTGGCCAAAGCCCATTCATGACTTCGAATAGCGAGTCGCACCGTGGGAACCGTGGACCTGGTAGGGGACGCGGTGGCGGAAGAGGTGGGCGGGGCGGAAGACAGTCACGGAACCAAGGAGCGCGGCTGTGGGATAGACGGTCGACTCCAGACGGTGAAGATGCCAGCGGTGAGCCACCAGACCGTGATCTTCGAGGGACTGGCACCTCCGGTGATCGCCTGACCGGAGATGCCAAGGGTTCTGAGGGCGAGGGCAGCAGGAAGGCTAAGCTTTCCTCGGACGACGATGCCGCAGGTGACGCCGATGATAGTGAGATCTGCTTCATCTGCGCATCCAAGGTAGAACACATGTCTGTCTCTCCGTGCAATCATCGAACTTGCCATATCTGTGCGATCCGCTTGAGAGCGTTGTACAAGACCAAAGGTTGTGCACATTGCCGTGTGAGTGCCCCTGTCCGCATCCATGACGAGGAGAATATGTATTAACTCGTCGTCTCCTGCGATAGACGGAATCGAGTTTCGTGATATTTACAAACGAGCGTGCGAAGCGATTCGAAGAGTTTACGGATAGGGATTTCATAAGGACGGATGATAATCTAGGTGTCAAATACGAGACGCAAGAGATCTTTGAGGACACGGTTTTGCTCCTACGCTACAATTGCCCTGATAAAGATTGCGCCGTTGCCTGCCTAGGATGGCCAGATTTGCACAGGCATGTAAAGAGCAAGCACGGCAAGGTTATGTGGTATGTGTCCTTTGCTATATGCTCTGTTATGTTGAAGGTTGACCATCCTGCTAGTGACTTATGTACAAGAAACAAAAAAGTTTTCACACATGAACATGACTTATTCTCAATATCACAGCTCCGAAAGCATGAGAAATACGGAGATGATAATCCTGGGGCGCTGGACCAAAGTGGATTCAAAGGCCACCCAGAATGCGGCTTTTGTCGTCAGCGATTCTACGGCGATGATGAACTCTATGCACACTGTAGGGATAAGCATGAGCGCTGTCATATCTGCGACCGGCGGGCTGGCCGGGGTCAACCAGAGTACTTCATTGACTACAACGCGCTTGAGGAGCACTTCAATAGCAATCATTTCCTTTGCCTCGACAAAGAATGCCTCGAAAAGAAGTTTGTGGTTTTTGAATCACAGATGGACCTGAAAGCGCATCAACTTGAGTGTCACCCTGCTGGCCTTTCCAAGGACGCAAGAAGAGACGCCCGGCTTGTGGATATGTCAACATTTGACTTTAGAGAACCGTACCAACCACAGCGCGGACGCCGCGAAGGGAGGAGACCACTGGGACGTGATCCTAACTCGGAACTTCTTCCTCCATCCAGTGCTCAGCCGCTAAGAAGAGACGAAATTGCTTACCAACGACAACTGGCTATCCAGAGTGCACAGTCGATCTCCACGAGGTCGTTTGGTGGTCAGCTTACTCAAAGTCAACGGCAACCTGCCCGACCCTCGCCCCCTGCAGCACCAGCTGCGCAACCTCAACTTCCAGCACCATCCCTTCCACCTATTGAAAACCTTGATCTTAACACACCCTCTTCTAGTCCTCAGGAAGAAGCTCGACGTATTGCGCACACCACTGTCTTGGATCGAGCATCCTCGCTCTTAGGCAATGATCCTCGGAAAATCAATGAATTCCGAAATAAAGTCTCATTATATCGGTCTTCCAGTATTGGGGCAAATGACTTGATCGAATCTTTTTTCTCTCTTTTCGACGCATCTTCGACTGAATTAGGAAAACTCGTTAAAGAGTTAGCCCATTTGTATGAAGATGAGTCGAAGCGAACTGGCCTTTTAACAGCTTGGAATGATTGGCGAGCTATCAACGAAGACTACCCTGCCCTTCCTGGTCCAAGCGGTACTCTTCCTTCCACCAGCTTGGCCAACGTCGGAGGCGGCAAACGCGTTCTTCGTCTCAAGTCATCCACCGCACAATCATCTCGGTCCGCAGTTGGGCAGAATCCCCGTCTGCCAGGTCTTCTCAATCCCAACAGCACATCCAACCCGTTCCCATCCCTTCCCAACCCATCTACTTCAAAATCCCAAAAGCTTAAAAGCGCCAGCCGAGTTTGGGGCACAGCACCAACCCCACCATCTTCTACGCCCAAAATCTCTCCGACCCCAAGCCGCTCTGCATCTCGTCCGGCGATACCAACAGTCGGTATAGCAACTAATTCGGACGCTTTCCCGGCTCTCCCTGCGGCTCCGAAGCCCAACGTTTTGATGGCAGGCCTCACACGCGGTACAGTTAGATGGGAGGATCGAAATGAAAGTCGACCTCAGGTGTGGGGTGCCGCAGCGAGCAATCCGACTCCCGCGGAAGCGGACATCAGTGGTGCTAGTGGCACTGACTCAAAGGGTAAAGGGAAGAAAGGAAAGGGGAAGCAGGTGTTGTATCATTTCGGATAGATGATTTCTCAGTCCTGCCATGCTTTTGCACACTAAAAAAGTGCCTTTTTCTTCTTTCCCTTTTGTTTTTTTGTCTTGTTGTTTCTCCAGCTGCAATTATCCTCATGCATCATGCTCAAGGGGTATTGTCAAATAATCGAGCTCGATATAAATTCTCTTGAAGAGGCGTTTGAAGATGTAGATGGGGTTTAATTACGCTGCATTATAAACTAGCATATGAGCGTCATGTCTTATATCCGGGCCCTTTTTTCACCCTATTCGTAGTTTGCGATACTCCACGATCGAGTGAGGTATCACCTATAAAGTGCTAAAGGTCCCTAATTCGTTTTTCGGGATACCTGAATAAATGCTACTTTATAAACTGCGGAGGGGGATTATGTATGTACTGTACATACATACGGTAGCAAATAGTGTTGAGACACAAGCCATGGCAGCAATACTCATGTTCGGGCTCAGTTCCTTCGCCCTGATTTCCAGCCTCACCAGAAACAATCCCGCGTCAGGAAAATGCCTTGTTAGGCATGATCGGACTGGTGACATCCGTCATTTCATCAGAATCTATAGTTGAGCTATTTTTGTCATCATCAAGCATGGGAGTATCCTGCAGTCCTGTTTGCCCAACACTATCTTCGTTTACTTCTTCGTCCATAACCAGAGCAATTTCTGCGTCAAGCGCTGCCATTCGCAAAGTAAAGTCGTCCTGCAATTTCTTAAGCCATTTTCTCAATTCTTCTCCCTCCATTACTCCATCCCTTGCTTGAAGGAGTTGTTCACGCAGTGCAAGTAGAAGCTGTCTCCGTTTGGCTATTGCAATCGCCTTTGGATTATTATGTCTCTTTGTTGCCCTTAAACTCAGCTCCTCTGACACGGTTTGCGCAGTTTGTAAGATTTTGGCGGGGAAGGGCATGAGCTTTGCAAGCGAAAGACCATAGTGCTTTTCCTTGACGTAGCCGTCAGCAATCTTGTACAACATCGTCATTTTCGACGTTGGTGCAGACATCTCCACGGCCAAGTGCAAATTGACGACACCGTTTCTATGGGCCATGATTCGAGCCAAATCGGTAAAGTGGGTCGCAAACCAAACAAGAGCATGACTATCCACGAGCGCTTCAGATATCGCAATGGCAATAGAGAGGCCATCGACTGTACTAGTGCCACGGCCGAGTTCGTCGACGATAGCCATGCTTCTGGGTCCAATGTTACGAAGAATGAAAGCCATCTCTCTCATCTCAGCAGAAAAAGTGGAGATATTGGCTTCAGTGTTGTCATCAGCAGAAATACGTGCAAAAAGCTGAGTAACTATGGGAAAAGAAGCATACTGTGCAGGCACGAAGCAGCCAATTTGAGCCATCACAGACATGAGGGCGATCGAGCGTATATATGTGCTTTTACCGCTCATGTTGCACCCGGTAACAATTTGAAATCGTGATTGCTGTGTAGCATAAGCATCATTAGGAATGAATTTGTTCGAATGTATTTTTTCCCGGATTGGATGTCTTCCGGCCTTAATTGCAAGGGTATCCGTTAGTTCAGGACGAACATAATCATGAACTACCACAAGCCGCGCGAATGTTGATAGCATGTCTAGCATCGCAAGGCCTTCACTGATGCGGAATAAGACGGATATTTCAGATCTAACATCTTCGATAAGTTCTTGGACGCTCTTATCACTCATAGCGATAACCTCATTATGGGAGTCGGTGATTTTCTGGTTTAATTTCACAAGATCTAGAGTTTGAAATTCTAGATAGGACCTCTTCCGAAAGACGTTGATAAAAACGCCGGGCAATTGTTTCTCTTCCAAATCAGACACTGGGAGCCGAAAGTAGTATTGGCGAGCAGTTTCGAATCGTAAATCGAGAGAGAGATTGTGAGCCTCTGGTCATATTAGAAGTGAACGCTAATTATAAGAGAATGAAATAAGAGTTGAAGAGTAAAAAAAGGCCATCATACCCGTAAGATGAGATGCAAGCTCATTTACATCGGTATTTGCCTCTTTGTAGGTTTGCCTTGCAACATCCAGCAAGCTATTCACCCCGGCCTATAATATTAGCACACACCTGCAGCTGTACGGACGTTCTGTGTGGTACCTTGACGGCATAGGTTCGCTGATTTCGCAAGTCAAGCGGCCGAGATTGATACGACACATCTGCATTCAACGTTGAATCGAGGAGCGACTCGATAACTTCATATTGTGAGGGATCGCAGAGCTAATCAGGGATCAGCATCATATTCTACCTTTCGAGTAAATATAATCCGGCTACATTTCGAATTGCCACGAGGAGGTCACTTTTAGAACCGGTTAGGGATTCATATACGGGTTTTATTGAAGATACGTATGTTTTAAGCATGATCATATTGTTAATTGACTGCTCTGCGTGCTCGAAGGTGATTCTAGTTGGTACAAGTGTTAACTAACCAGCCTGTTAGCAAGAGTTGCGGGAAGAAAAGAAAAGAAAAGAGAAGGGGGGGGAGAGAGGGGGAGGGAGAGAAAGTATGAACGACAAAGCGTACGGCAGTTAAAATTTTGTCCGAGTCCACAAATGACTTAAGGGCTATAACGCTTTTTCAGCTAATAAGTATTGAGCAGGATTATAATCGACAAACCTTCTCGAACGCCGTGAAACATATCTTCCCTTGTTGCAAGCTCCTCTACGGCATCATACCTCCCTAGTAGCTTAGTTGGTTCTGTAGATGGCTGCAAGATATTACTGCGAAGTAATCGTGCGCCCATTGGAGTAAGGGTCTCATTTAGGACCCCAAAGAGGCAGTCCTTTGACTTGGCACGCTGGAGATTTTGGATTAGCTCCAACGAAATGATAGTGGAGAGATCAATCATCATGGACCCATCTGAAGGCTCATATTTAATGCGAAGCGAATGTGATGCGAAAGATTTAGAGAGCTCAAGTTCAATATACGTGAGAACCTTCCATGGGGCGTTAGTAAATCCTTGGGCCATCAAGCCGTGAAAAGACCACGCAACGTACAGCTGCGAGACAGCAAGAGGCAAAATAATTCCCCTCCAGAGATAGTTTAATCGATTCAAGATCGTCCTTGAACGCTAACTGGTCAACGTATTCATGGCCCGTCTTTTCTGCCCAATACCGTCGGTCAATTGCTGTTATGGTGCGCTGGGGGAGATTCTCCTCCACAATCGCATAGAGCTTTGACTTTGGTGTTTGAGCAGTCTTCATAAACAGAATTTCCGTGGGTTCCAGCACGGCCAATTTCTGGATTGTCCGCGCATAAGTTTGGCTGTCACATATTTGGCATAGCACAGCCTCCGATGTGGAAAGATTAACGAATGCAAGGCCAACTGTAGGGCATACTCCCCGTGATTCACTAATTGCACAGATGATATCCTGGACAGTAACACTTGTAGCAGTAGTCGTTGGTCTTCCTGTCCTTGGCCGTCCACTAGTAGCTGTATGGCGCGTCGTTGGTCGGTTGTCGGGCGCCCATCCGGTTGAGGTTTTAGAAGAGAAGACTGTTGACGACATGACGATAAATACCAAGTTAACTAGTCACCCAGAAGCTTTCTTCAATGCTAGCCAGTACTTCGATTCCCTAACTCAACCTCGACTCCCACGCTGCGAGGAGGAGGTTGGTGTTAAGAAGCAGTAAGGCTGGCTGTTCCGTCGCTGGCTGGGGTGGATGTCGATATATGCTCGATCTTATCTTATCTTGAACTCTTCCTATCACGCTTTACCAATCCTGGACTAGCTCTGATGGCTGGTTATTTTGCGACGAATTTGAGCTTTCATCGCTGCGGCCCCGTTGTTGCACGCGATCAAGCCCATTAGCACCGTATTACCCGCAAGTGCTGCTAGCTCGCCTTCGGGATATTCAAAAATGGCAACCTTGGTGCCACCCCCTAGCAAGCGCCAGCGGCTGGAGGATTCAGAAAAGTCGAAACAACAGCAAGAAATCCAGACAATTCCTGACAACCTTGGGAATATCCGAGTGCAGTTCTTCGACCAGGGCACTGGAAAAGCTTCGGGCCCGGCTGTCGCTGTTCCTGTCGCTGATGCAACTGTTAGAAATCTTGAAATTTTACTCAACACGTTACAAGGAAATGTAGGTACGCTTGCGCCTATCTGCCCTGCGAATGAACTGGATCCTTAGCTGACCTGAGCTCTCCAGGAGGACCATGAAAGGGTGCCATATCGTTTTTCATACAAGCCCGACGGCGAGAAGGAAGATGCTATAGATATATTGTCGGGTATTTATCAGTCCCTTCTGAAACCCGGCCTAAAGACCCCCGAAGATATCATCCACCTACAGTACACCCCGCAGGCCGTTTTCCGGGTTAAAGCCGTGTCTCGATGCTCTGCCTCAATATCAGGACATGGTGAAGCGATATTAGCCACAGCATTTTCTCCCGCGTCCTCGTCGCGCATGGCTACGGGGAGCGGTGATTCCACCGCTCGAATTTGGGACTGCGATACAGGAACGCCTATCCACACTTTAAAAGGCCACTCAAGCTGGGTCCTTGCGGTTAGCTGGTCTCCCAATGATAAAATTCTCGCAACTGGGAGTATGGATAACACCGTTCGATTATGGGATCCAAAAACGGGCCAGGCCCTTGGTGCCCCTTTGAAAGGTCATACGAAATGGATCATGAGTTTAGCATGGGAACCTTACCACTTACAGGACCCTGGAAGACCGAGATTAGCTTCTGCATCCAAGGATTCAACTGTGCGGATATGGGACGTTGTGTCGAAACGCATTGAAAACGTACTAACTGGACACAAAGGCTCTATCTCATGTGTTAGATGGGGTGGGACGGCGCGCATATACACCTCTTCACATGACAAGACTATCAAGATATGGAACCCAAAAGATGGCAGTTTAATACAAACCCTATCATCACACACCCACCGGGTGAACCACCTGGCTTTATCTACCGACTTTTTCCTCCGCACGTCCTTTTATGAGCATAATACTCCAGTTCCAGATTCTGATACCGATAGGATTGCATTAGCAAAACGCCGGTTTGAGAAAGCGGCGACGATAAATGGCAAGCTTACTGAGCGACTGGTATCAGCAAGTGATGATTTCACAATGTTCTTGTGGGATCCTGCTTCTTCAAATAAGCCGATTTCCCGAATGCTAGGCCATCAGAAAGAGGTCAATCATGTAACCTTTTCTCCTGATGGTGCGTACATAGCGTCTGCTAGCTTTGACAACCACGTGAAGTTATGGAACGCCCGAGATGGAAAGTAGGTACTCTTTTTATCCATGACATTGTGTCTGATTCTGACGGATGTCATCCAGGTTCATGACATCCCTCCGCGGACATGTAGGAGCAGTATACCAATGTTGCTTTTCAGCTGACTCCCGTCTCCTTGTATCGTCCTCCAAGGACACGACGCTTAAGGTGTGGGACGTGCGAACAGGCAAATTAGCGATGGATTTACCAGGTCATCAGGACGAAGTTTACGCCGTTGACTGGAGCCCTGATGGGGAGAAGGTTGGAAGCGGTGGAAGGGATAAGGCTGTTAGGATATGGCGACACTGATATATACAGTTGCAAAATACCTGTTTTTTGGATTATGTATCTCCTCAACGCCTCGGATATATTACTACCGCGAAATGAATATAATCGTTGGTATCGACACTTCCTATGAATTGATAGATCCAGTGCTGAAAACTCGAGACGTTCTAATTACGCCATTCCTAGAACTCCAATGGAAAACGCTGCAACTGTGACAACAATGCTCCAAGCCCGATAACCATAATCCTTGGTCCGAATAGCGCCACCCTGCTCTATATACTGCCCTCTCTGAACATTTTCCCGAAACTGATTGCCTCCAATAATATTTCCGGGCGGATAGTACTCACACACAACATACCACCCGAGGGCCTTTTTCTCAGAATGATGGCCCTTCGGGTGCATGCCCGCCGAGCCGCAATTATGCCGGCCGCAGCCAACGGACTTTGTGCTTTTCCACACCAATTGTGTAAATTGGGACGTTTCTTCATTGTATTTAGGGTTGTTAAAGGAAACCTTTTCCCGTCCCTGAGCCCAGGCGGTCATCACAGAGGTGATGTTAGGATACCCGGCGGCCAGATTCTCGCCAGACGGCGAAAACTAAGGAACAGCGTTAGAATACCAGCCCTATGCAAATTGGGAATTTATAATTTCGTACCGAGTGCCTCAACCGGCATTGTTCCCCCCAGTCATGGGCAGTTTCTGCGAGCGTATTGTTCCAGGTCAGGGGGTTGGCGTCGTGCTGACGTCTGAGTGAATTGGTAGCATTGAGGATTGAAGTCTTGAACACTTCGTCGGAGGAAAACTGCGGCGATGTAGGTTCGGATATAACCGTCCAGATCAACTGCACTAGGGAGAATATAAATACGAGGCCCATGCCGTTTACACTCGCCGATGGTAGTTTGGGAATCAAATGATTCCAAAGAGATCACAGAGAGCAGACAAGATGAAGAGTCGCACTCATTGTTAGTGCCTGAATAACAAGACTAGAATTTGTAACCTTATAAATTTTTGCATCTCGCAGTGAACAAGTCATTTACAGTTCCCCCTTGTTGCCACCGCAAGGGAACTGTCAACGACGTAATTAGGGAGACAACTGGTTTTGTTAATTCGTTGACCAGTTGGGCTTACATAAATCACTAAGTTAACTTAACTACTGGGGACCTCACAAGCTACCAAGTAGTTACTCTGTAACCGCCTTTGTGGAGATACTTCAGAGCAAACAGATCAAGCCCTTCACCGCCCTACATGATAAGCGAGGGTCCCCCGTGTTGGGATTTCGTTATGGGATTACATTGGAAAAAAAAAAGAGTAGAAAATGCTTCAAATTTTTTGGGGGTTCCTGGCGAGAACAGGGCAAGTCTTTTCAAGGACCTGTCTCAGATAATGCTGCCCACTAACCCTTTAAAAAGATGTGACGCTGTACGAGTAGGATAGATGGCTATGTATATATGTATGTACATACATACAAGAAATCCTCAATTACTAGTATCGCCCGCCTTTTATTATAACCCATGCAACAGTCACATCATATGGGTTTAAGCAGGGCTACATGTTGAGGATAACGAACCCCCTACACCACTGCAGTTGTGCTTCCGGTCGCCGACGGTATGGAGGTTGGAAATAGGAATCAAACTGTGCCTAAACAACTGGTTACATTACTATGCATCCAATGCCAAACATAGCCCTTTCAACGTCCCTTTTCACCTGATACCAATCTGCCCTTCTCTCGGCAAACTCGTATACTTCCTCTGCACGTAGAATGCCTTTGAATCGGTCTACATCTGCTATGATGGTAGCCATTTCTTTCGAGTCCGAAGGATCGATCAAGTATACCTGCGAGAGTTCTCTCAGGGCTGTAAAGTAAAGCAGTAATTCGTCGTTTTTCATGGACTGGATAAATGTGAAGTAGTGGTTCATATCACTATTTCCCCTGTTAGAAGTAGCCGAAGATCTATCTTCAGAAGAATTGTGATTGAGCCTCACCTGATTAGCCTGATAGAACCCATCACGCTAATTCGCTGACGTTTAAGATGCTTGCATAACGCCCCGAAAAGGCGAAGCCCAACTTCTTGGTTAAATACATCCAGCATGCTCTTGTCCGTACTGCCAACTAACATTTGCGTGTGAGAAGAGACTATTTGAACGATAGATTTCGCAGCATCGCTGGGGCCAATATCAACAGTTTGACTGTTAGGATCAGCCGATTCGGGATTAAAATCCAACGCTGTTTGCTTGGTCGCAAGTATATATTCCACTTCGTCCATGAGAGCATTAATTCCTTTATTCAGACCGGCGGCAACACGCTCGTCGAGGAGCTGTTCAAAACGCTTCTTTTCCTTGACTGCCGGGTTAAGGAAGTCATTTCGATCGGTCAACCTCGCTCCAATCAACTCTTGCTCGTAGAAGACATCCACCATTTGCAAAATCAAGTCACCAACGTTGACAAGCTCGAGAAATGTGACGAGCGGCTCAACCCCTGTTTTCTCCTTCGCATTATGTTGTCTAGGATCATAAGCAGAGAGGTGGCCAACGGCTTTGTCAAAGCCAGCTATGACGTGCTGATGACCGAGTATTTGTAGCAGAGACACAAATATCGCTTCGCATTGACTTCGTGCCGCCTTTCCCAGTTCCCCCTGTATTTTAACGAACTGGGATGCCCTTTCAAGGCTGGATTTTGCCGCATGTACCAGGTTAAGGGCTACTTCGATACTGAATAGTGTTCGGATACCCTCCAGTTTCGCGTTCATAATGGCGGCTTTCGCGGCCAACTCGGTTGTAGGAGCTTCAGTGGGTGCCTGTGGGATTGTGACTGGAACGACAATTGTAGAAGACCTATTGGAATGAGAGGTTACCATAGATCCAAGGCTCTCCGTTGACTTGTTGAGATTATCCGCTTTTTCCGTGCCGGACTTCGAAAATCCTGGGAATATGTTCACGGGAGCCATGAGGACCTTTTTAAATGACGTTAGAAAGTCTTTTTTATCCGCCTGTCTGTTGATATTTGACATGTAGAATGACTCGGTCGACGCGGCCTGTTCAGACAGTTGTCTATCCCAGTCGGAAACGATATCTTCCGAATGTTTTCGAAATAAATCCAGCTCCTCCGCGAGGTATAATTCAACATGCGGCTCGAAAATTTCCATGACCATCTTATTAGTAGCTTCATCGAAATCTTCCGCGGGATCTTTAATTTTATTTAAACCACGGACGAAATTCCGAGATTGCACATAAGTCCCAGAAACAGCTTGGAGGTAAGAATTTGGATTCCGGGCATGAACCTCATCAAACAGCGCGCTAAAATAGGGAGATAAGATACCTTTGCTGACCTTCGCTAAGAATGGCGTGGTTATTCCAGAACAATTCGAAAAGCATCGATCTATGATAGATATTTCCTGATTCACCGCCACCCGGAGGCGAGTAAGGAAAGCTTGAGTATGCTCTAAGGAGACAGCACTTGTCTTGAGGCAGTCCATTGGGTTTCCAAAATCGGGCTTTTGTGTCATGATATTGTTGTGATGGATAAAGAGCTCGATAGCGGCATGACCGCCATTAAGTGTCACCAACACGTGGGCGTATCTCTGCATCAGCCCGTCAACATCTCCGGTCTCATAACCATTTCTAAATTCGCGGAGCGCAGCTGTTTCAAAATCGGCCACCACATTAGAAAGTTGCCGGTTTCGCTCTTCCCAGCCTACAGCTCTGTCACTCTTGGCAAACGATATCAGTTGGGATAACAATTGCGCCTGTTGCTCGGGCTCGTGGTATGTTTTGAACACAAGACAGTCGGTAGTTTCTTGGGATTTAATGATATCTTTGTAGAAGGGGAAGAGGACAGCATGGACTTTGCCGTATTCTTCCCTAGCTTTTCCCCGTACAGATCTCACTGAAGTCAGTATGTTCAGAGCATCGGCCTTCGGTTTCTGTTCGATCCGCGCTGGGACAGTAAACTGGACAGCATCAAAACCATTGGAGTCACCACCAAAAGTATCGGGAGGCTTTGAATCTATGGTTATGGAAGGTACTTGGCCGTACTTTGCCGTCTGGCCTTTGATGATCGAACTTCTGGGTCGTCCATTAGCCTGCGGGTTATCCTCCTCGGCGTGTTTTCTGGCTTCTACTTCATTCCAGCAGCCCATCTGTTTGAGTAATCGGACCCATCTCGTATCATCATAGACCATCTCCTGCATGCGTCTTGACGTCCTCGCTACTCGGATCAGATCGGTCGGAGCAAGATAGTCTAGGATGGTATCCATCAATTCTTTTAACAAGTTAGCGGCGGTCATTCTGCCTAGATTACCCATAGATGAGGAGGAGGAGCTGGCTACCTGCCGGTAAGATGGGCTTCAAAATTTCAATATGTGCCAGCTTCAGGGACGCCAAAACGTCTCTCCGGGGGGTTTTCGAGGGCCCCTGAGACCTGGGGCGCGACGCCATCGTGCTGGGATGGGATGTCACGGACGAGAAGCAGATCACGGCTTTATGGAAGACGGCTTATAACAACGCGGTGAGGTCATCATGGATCGATCTATTCAGGCAGGCCCCGCTGCGATTTCGTTATTTGATCAGACGCAACGCATGTCGTTTACGACGAATTTCAAGTAATTCGTCCTCTTATTGGGACGATTCGCTAACCAAATGACTGTTCTCCCTTGGTCGGATCAAAAGCTGTAGTTATGGAGGTGTTATGGTGATCCGTAACTGGTGGCCCAGGGTTCGAAGCTCCTGGGGAAGTTAGTGTGGTGTGCGCAGCAAGGGGGAAGTTTTGGCGAACAGGAAGGTCCTTTGACAGACGCCATGAATCAGCCATGCAACCGAATTAGCGGCGCGGCTTTGAAATCCAACGTTCAAGAAGAAACTTTGTATCATCCAATTCATCACGTTGGGAGATACTTCATCTAGCTGCAGTGGGATAGGGAATAACTAACTACCCTAACGGTTATAATGACTACTGAGACCTCTACTCCGTAGAGTGCTTGTCACAATATGTAACTAGGATTCTGTCTAGCGACTTGTAGACTGAAGTAAGACAAATGTTTAAATATGGATTAAAGTCATGGGATGTAATCCGAATGCATATCAGCAATCCACGCTGGTCGTGACGGTCACCTGGGTAATCTTGTGTTGAATGAACTGAGCTGAGATCTACCCCTCTCCATGCCCTTCTTCTCGCCTTTTTAACCTCATGCTATCGACGCATGAAAACAAACCCGATCATGGAAGCATGTTTGCCATCCGAACAGAGTCGTAATTCCGTTCTTCACGTCGAGGTTCGGGTCAAAGCAGCGGCGGACCATGTTATTGTTCGAACGGACATCGTGAGCAGCTTGGTCCTTGACGTCCTGAGGTAGATCTAACAGAGGCAGCCAGATTCGCGATGAAATGAGAGCATGGCTAATCGAGAACTTCGCCGTCCTGTCTTTAGGCCAAGAAATCATCTCATTCGGTATAAAACTTTGCTCTCGCTATGAAAGATGCCCCAGAAACCCTAACTAGAAAGTAGATAGTTTCAACAGCGCCTACGTGGAATATCTCGAAGCAGTGAGAGTAGTCGAATGTACGGGTCTGATCAAGGAAGGCGGAGGGTACCATCTGTCCGAGGTGAATCTCGATGTCCAGGCATACCAGCTTCAACCCTCATGCCTCGAGTCGTCGTCCCAAACGCAGGGAGCCACAGACCCGGCATCGGACGAGGAGGCACTCCAGGCCCGCATCATTTCCTTGCCAAACGAAGAACTGGACGGGCTCTGGGAATCGTACGTTGACGCGAATGGAATCTGTGAGACTTGAAGTGGTTAACCGGCTCCCCAGGCTCCTCTTTGACGTTCCAATACACTCAAATCTCCTCCGAGTAGCAGGTCGGATGAGTACGTGTCCCGTATCATTCCTCGCGGCTATCATGAACTAATAGCCTAGTTTCTTTGCCGTGGCGGAAACTCAACACATGGACAATCAACTGGAATCGACTAATCCTCCTCTATGGGCCTCCGGGAACCGGGAAAACAAGTTTATGGCAAGTGTGGGATATCGACCCGTGGTGTCTGTACGGCTATATCTCCCGGCTAACAATGGATCAGCCGAGCACTGGCGCAAAAACTAGCCATCCGCCTGGGAAAACAGTTTCCACAAAGCAAGCTTGTGGAAATCAATGCAATCTCGCTGAGCAGCAAGTACTTCAGCGAGAGCGGCAAGCTCGTCGCAAAGATGTTCGAAAATGTTGAGACGCTTCTCAAGGAGGAGCCAGAAACCCTGATGTGCGTTTTCATCGATGAAGTAGAGACGATAACGGCCAACAGGGAGCAATCTCTCAAGGGAAACGACCCGCCAGACGCCATGCGCGCCGTAAATTCCCTGCTTACCGCACTAGATCGGCTGAGGCAGCATCCGAACGTCCTCGTGCTCTGTACCAGCAATCTCATCAACGCCCTGGTGAGAACTTTCGCAACCCCCCAAAGCTCTGTGAGCCAGATTCTTACCTTGGGAGGAACCATAGGACTCTGCGTTTTTAGACCGAGTGGACATCAAGCAATTCGTCCCGTTGCCGTCCGTGAGAGGGGTATACGAGATATTCCGGAGCTGTCTGGAGAACCTCAGTCAATGCGGGTTGATCGAAGGGGCAACCTTCGAGGTAGTGCAGCGCGATACAGGGAGTCCAGGCCCGGGTTTGGAGTACATGACTCGACCAGCGGAGGCTCTGGGCATCCCGAGGTACGAGATGGCTCTGTGGTACCGCCTGTTCTCGCGATCGATCCCAAAGCGCCTTGAGAACATTGCAGAGGCTAGCGTGGTATGTATATATACAACCTCCTACCCTTTCTTTCATTTCCATGCTTTATATGAAGAGCGCCAAAACTCATCCGACGCAGGGGCTGAGTGGCCGTACGCTGAGAAGAATCCCAGCCCTGTCGTTGGTCCTGTACACCACGGGTGCGTGCTGCAGCGTCGACGAGGCCGTGGATGCGCTGGAGCAGGGAGTCGAGGAGGAGCTGCGGATCCGGCAAGCGGCGCAGGAAGGGCAGCAGACGGCAGAGCGTCGTGGAATGTAGTTAACTAGACAATCACCAACACCGACCCATTTCTCTACTGTGGGATCAGTTACTATCACTCCGTAGACTTATCTTTTCCCCCTAACCATATACTGCCATCCCTCTACTCCGTTATCATTACTCCGTACTCCCTCTCTCTCGTCGCTTTCACCTCGTCGTCGTCGTCGCGAGTTTTGCCGAGAGCCGCCAGCCAATCAGCGGCGGCATGTTGTTAACCTGCGCCAAGCACCAATCGCAGCGTCTCCTTCTTCCGCCCCAAAACGAGCAGAACTTCAATTCAGTCTTTAAACAACATCTTCGCTCAGCGGAATTCGCTGTCACATCCACCTCCACGCTCCCCCTCCCCTCCCACCTCCTTCGCCGTCCAGGCCCAATTCTTCATCGGTGCTGCGGGGTCTTCTCCTTTCTCACTCACTCCCCACACACATACACACACACACAAAATGTTGGCCAGGTCGGTCTTGCGAAGCGTGCCCTCCAAGGCATTCGCACGACAATCCTTCCGGCAAACGACCACGGTGCGTTCGTCCCAGTCCATGCCGTGCCATTGGCCCTTCACTCGCTCACAGGATCCCGCGGCATGCCATTCTGGTGCTTTGGCGTCGGCTAACTCTCTCCTTAGCGGTCCTCATCCTCAAAAGCCAGCGCTGCTTCCGAATCTCCGTTCTACCTGACTCTGACCGCTTCCGCTGCCACCGCGGCCACAATTGGAGCTGCGGCGTGGTATTACCATCTCTATGGACCCGAACTGCTTGCTATGACCCCAGCTGAGGAGGGGTGAGTGTGACCTTCAGCTTTGCCTGCCAGCGCGACTACCGATCACAAGGGGTCCCGATACATTATATATCATGGAATTTTTATTTTTTTTATTTTCCCGTTTCGGCTGACACGGACTCAGTTTGCATCCCGCTGCCTACCCTTGGGAACATACCAAGTTCTACCGGACATTCGACCATGCCGCGTGAGTATATTCACCTCCCCTTCATCGGTCTTTCGTTTGGAACATCCTCGGCTGATGTCGTCGGGATGGTTTTGCAGACTCCGACGTGGTTTCCAAGTATACCGTGAAGTTTGCGCACAGTGCCACTCGCTCACCCGTGTCCCATGGCGTGCGTTCGTCGGCACCATTCACACTGTCGACGAGATGAAGGCCATGGCTGAGGAGAACGAGTACGATACCGAGCCAAACGACCAGGGCGAGATCGAGAAGCGCCCTGGAAAACTATCCGACTACATCCCTGCACCCTACAAGAATGACGAGGCTGCTCGCGCTGCGAACAATGGTGCCTTGCCCCCGGATCTCAGCTTGATCGTCAAGGGCCGACACGGTGGTTGCGACTACATCTTCAACTTGCTTACTGGATACCCTGATGAGCCACCAGCCGGAGCTACTGTCCAAGAGGGATTGAACTTCAACCCTTACTTCCCTGGAACTGGTACGAAACCGTCGCATTTCCTGTTCAATCTGTGGTATACCGCGCCTGTTTGATAATGTAAGCTAATGATATCTTATCAGGTATTGCTATGGCTCGTGTCCTCTTCGATGGTGTCGTCGAGTATGAAGATGGAACCCCCGCCACGACCTCCCAAATGGCAAAGGATGTGACCGAATTCCTCAACTGGGCCGCCGAACCCGAGATGGATGACCGAAAGAAGATGGGTATCAAGACTCTCGTGATTGCTGGAGCTTTGTTCGCCGTCAGCGTCTGGGTCAAGCGATACAAGTGGGCACCAATCAAGACAAGACAGATCGTCTACTCTCCCCCTGTTGGCAAGAAGAGATAAACACAATCGATTAAAAAAGAAGGAAAAAAAATACCAGACAGCTGTACATCAGTGGGGAGGAGAAGCGTGAGGGAGTACTGACACCACAGTTATGTTCTCCGTTTTTCGTATACTCCTCCTTTTGTTCAAGCATATCCACAGGTCCTTTTTGAAGAAAACATGTTCCTAGCCAGTTTTAGACACCAAAGGAAAACGAGGGAAGCAGGTATGTGTATGTGTGAGGGGTTTAGTAGACTGTTGGATTTTGGAATCTGTGTAATTATAAAGATCTTTGTTGTCCTCGTTTTCACTCTGATGTCATTGAGATTATCTTACCCTGTCTTGACTCCCAATGTATTACGTTTCATTTGTTTCCCATGTTTTGTCTTTGGCTTGCCATGCTCAGCTCTCTGGCGCTGGATGCTGTTTGAACAGTGGCGTGACGGTATGATTCTTAGAATTATTCTCCGCTCAAAGACTGGTGTGATAAATGCAAGGTGTGATAATGCGCCAATGGAGGCGCGAAGCAGCACCGCCAATGTAAAAAGCAAAGAATAGAATATATGGTATTTAGTTGGAAGCTACCGTAAAAGCTCTGGCGCAAGTTATATTGTATCACACTCTATCCAAGTCTAGCGCTGCAAAAGTACACAAAAAAATAATTAGTCTATAGTAGGTATCACAAAGGGTTGGTATGGCTTTCCACCGTAAATTTACAACTCTCCCATACTCCGTATAGCTTGAACGTGCTCAATCTAGCCACCTCTTTCATCTGTATACTACGTTCCAGCAGTCCTCTCCCCATCACCAAACACCTTCCTAAAAATCACATCATACGTCCACCAGATACTCCCAAACAGGCCCCTCTGCAGCTTGGCCAGCCACCCGGGTGCCCTTCCCCTGTTATCCGCCAATATCCTAGCAAGAGTCATGACAAGGAGCAATGACGGCACCCAGAGCAGACACAACAATACTTGGCCCAGACGCTGCCGGCGTGAGGTGATGCGATATGCGTGGAGAGAGGAGAGATATGTGCGGTAAGAGTCCGGCAGGTTATGCTCCTTCGCGCCGATGACGAGGAGGGACATATAGCGTGGAGAAGGCTGGGCATACGTGGGGTGACGGACGAGATGAGAGTTGCCATTGTTACTCCCCGTCTTGCCGCAGGCGTTGGCGGTATCCCGGGCCGGGGCGAGGAGCGTGTGTGCGCGAAAGGGGATCGTTGAAGGATGGCTGGGGACGGGGTCAGAGGGATTGAAGTCGGCGGGAAACGGGTAGCAGTCCACCACGACGTCGATGTACGAGGAGCCTCCGCCTTCCGTGGCTATGATCCGGGCGTAGTCCGAAAGCGTGACTTCGTAGACCACGCCGACGAGCGGTTTGCGCCAGACGTTGGTGTCGTCAAGAGCGGAGTCGTCGGATCGCAGCAACGCTCCTCTCTCGTCGTCGTCGGCCTCGTCATTGTCTCGCCCGTCAGCCTGATGTGTGAAATGGCCATTGGGATACTTGGGTTCGCCGGTGACAGGGTCTCGATACTGGGTCGCGGCAAAACACGGTTCGAAGTACGGGACTCCCGGCAGATCAAAAGTGAGCGTGAGATCCGGCACACAGACATTGAGCTGCGATATGGGCACGATCTTGCGGGTGTTCCGGAAGGTCTTGGAGCTCATGTTCGACCCATAGGCAAGATACAGGACAGTCTTCGCCTTGAGAGGCTCCTTTCCTTGCCGCTCCTCTTCAAGCAGGGCTCCAACATTGAGCGCATGGTCGTGAGCAGCGGCACGCTGTCGTTCAACGGAGATCTGTGGGATAGGGGCAGTGGTCTGCGGTACGGACCCTTTTTTCTGGAAAAACTGCCATGGCGATGTGGTAGAGGTCTCTTCTCGGAGAGTTGCCTGGGTGTTGAAAAAGACGCTCGATTGCGCTTCGCTGGGGACCTTTTCGGCATTAGTTGGTGGCATCTTGATCCGCTGAACTCAACTGGCAAGAAAGAACTAAGTAAGCCACGGAGTACTTGTTGAACCAACTCTTTCACAGTCGACAGCTCATGGACCGCCCGGCTGAATCACGTACTATATATCCCTCCCAAGGCAAGACAACCCTCCAGGAAAGAGACTCTTTGTAAGCAATTCTCTCGGATCTGTCAATTAATAATACAGCGTACTTGCTCCGGCCTCAGAGTCTGGTCAGCCTTTGCTGGGCCGTCCGTCTCGGCGCAACTCTGATGCCCGGTTCGGAGGCCAAAAGAGCGCCGGACGCCGCCTCCCGGGTGGACAAACTCAAAAACTGACCAACCTCCAACCGTCACCTCGTTCCTGGTCCCTGGAAGGTCTGCCGAGAGAAAGTTGATTGAGACTTCCACCATGACAGCATCCAGCGGACGGCCATCCTTAGCTACATAGTTAATATGTAGTCGAGCTCCCTTCAACTGCCATTTCTTATCCTGTCAGCGGAGAAATAAACGGGAAGTTCCAGGGCCGAACTCTCTTAGCTGAAAAAGGTCCCTTCTGCTACGCTGTGTCTTCTGCCTGGTGAACCTCCCTCAGATTGCAGATTCTACTGGGAGTTTCGATGCTTTGATCAGCGAAACTCAAGACTCTATACCCCCAACGTGTGCTCCAGTTGGTAGCTGCTCGCGATTGTGACTAAATAGTCCATTTTACCATGACTGTGTGTAGTTGCGTCTTCGAGAGTTCAACCAACATCTGCCAGGGAAAAGTTACTTAGCACTGTTGGTGAAACGGGGCTCTACACAATATTATATAAAAACATTATCTGGAGTAGGCTATGCCTTAGGACGCTAATGTGTTCCTCCCTCCCTTTTTTTTTTTTTTTTTTTTTTTTTTTTTTTTTTGCGCCCCCTGACGGGGCATCGTTCCTATTGTCCCAGCTCGATGTGTTGCTTCGGGCTCCTTTTGAGAAGAATGACTCAAAACAACACGCGCACCCCTCCTGTATGGCAAGTTACTTGTCAATAATATGCTGTAGATAATAGACAAAACCCGTATTATGACCTTTTCCTTGCCCCACGTGATAGCTATGCCTCTGTTGCTCTTGTCGCTCTCCTCTCCTATCCTATCCTCTCTGTCTCCTGCTTATCTTCTGTTTCTCTTCTCCTTCTCATGGTTGTGAGATAGATTCAAATTTGATACCATTCCCGCCAACCTTTTTTTTCTTTTAAAGTATCAAAGTTGTACGAGCGTTTGATCATGGCTTCATCCAGCCCTTCAGGGCGGCGTGCCTACCCAGAAAACTATATGCTCCAGCTTATCGATGAGCTAAAGACAACTATTAAGACGATAAGAAAGGATCAGCTTTTGATGTTAGTTCTTGATTGGCAAATGTCTACTTCTCTAAATGCTAAATTTGCGGTTTTCACCCCAGGATCTCCATCGAAATGATCAAAGTCTTCACAGACTCCTCCAGAAGAATGGATTCAACCCATCTGCCGGAGCTGATCTCTCTGTTTGATGGTGATAATTACGAAAATTGCTTTAGGCTAGACGTCGCGTCACTTCATTGTGTGATTCATATTCTCCTTAGAGCAAGCCCTTGCATGGCCAGGGAGAGAGGATTCTATCTTTTCCTGGTAAGTAATCCACTGGATATTCACATTGACAAGCAGAGGAGCATAATAGTAACACATGTGAACAGGAGTCGATGACAGAGCTCACAGCACTGACACAAAACCCAATCCACCCCGGGATCATGGTCTCGGCACGCCAAAGAAAGTCGATCCTGGGACGCAAATCCTGCCGCAATCTTTTTGGAACCTTCATCAAAGATCACCCAATGGTTGCACGGCGATGGGTAAAAAGAACCCGCCCTCTCTCCGAGGGCATCTTTCCGTCTTTCATAGCTGATACTGATGCTAACCAGAGCGGGCAATACATTCTTGAGCTGGTCAAACACTCCACCGACAATACTAAGTTTGTGCTCTCGTTCGGAAGACATCTAAGGTAAGAACCCACCCTGCACGTTGATTCTGACCATACTTCCTAACACTCTCCATTCGCGTGTCCAGAAATCTCGGGGCCATGGTCCTGATGAGCGAGATTAGTTATGACCTAAGGCTTATTTCCGCAATGATAATTCAGCAGCTCATGCTGGCCGATCCCGATCCATCTTCCTTTTGGCCACAGGACACTGATCCCATATTCTTTTCGTGGCTTATCCGTGGAGCCGCAATCGACGCGGCGTGGATGAAAAGCTTCATCAAACTGTTATCCATCATCGACAAGACAAACGTTGCCAGCAATCCTCAAGCAACCAGCCACCTTTTCGGTGCGGCAAAAATCAAGCCCGTTGCATTACTGGAAACATCCGACCTCAGCATCAGTTCCGACGACCATCCTCTCACAATCGCGACCGATTTGGAGACCATCAGCTTTTTTATTCTAAGCCAAGATCGCCTCCAAATCGTCGATATCCCAAGAAATTTCATTGAAGATATCAGCGTGGAAGTTGCGGACTCATGCCTCCATATCGACATGGTTGAAGGTACACACTATGTCACAAGTGGATTGCCCGTAACGACAGACGTGGTTTATGTAACGTTCGAAAAGTCTCGCACCGCACTGGGGATTCTCGATGCCTTAGATGGAGTCATCGTCCCTCACGCCTCTCAAGAAATGTCACCAGAACCATCCGGTTCTAGCGTCGGTGGTAATGCTAACACTCAAAACCAAGCCAAAGCCACGAAAGATCAAGTACCCAAATGCCAACGGCAAGCTATATCCGCCGCAATCGATGTCCCTGTGCCCGACGAGGGCATTGGCGAGTCTCCTGCTCGGGCTCCAGCCAAGATCAAAGAGGCAAAAGATAGCACGGAGCGAAACCGGCACGCAGCATCATCGGCAGCAATTGAGCTCGTTTCATCAGATAACAGCTCAACACAGTCGAAAAGTAGCACTCAAGCAACACCAAGAGCCAATAGAGCAGATAAAACCGATACAACGAAGCAGACAACCAATACTACAGAGAGCGGGTATGGCTCTCTTAGTTCTGAGGCTGCCGCACAGAACGGGCGTGGTCATCCCGCAAGAGACGCAAACCACAAGCCAGCTACAGCGTCCGTCGCCTCTCCAAGCGACAGCGACTGGAATCAGAGCGAGCGTCGCGATGCCCAGGTGCAGGTCGAGTGCGGCTCTGCGGAGGGGTGGGGGAGCGACTTACTCGATTCGGCAAGGCGGGACCTTCAACGTCACCAGCAGCAGCTCGTCGGCTCGCAGTGCTGTGAAAGCCATGCGAGCAGCAGCACGCAGCACCTACAGGCCGACAGCATGCAGAAAGCCCCCATCAACGTGCCGGCAGTGGCAGCCGCAGCGGGCCAACCGGTTGTGCCGAGTGGAACGGCTTCAGCTGGCAATGGTTCTCGCTTGAAACGTCCCCACCACAAGATCAACGGCTCAGTTGACAAACCTATGACCACGGTGGACTGGGATCAGGATCTTCGTACCGAGAATGACGAGGAGAGACCCAGCGCGATAAAGAAGCAGAAGATCACTTCACGTACGGCCAAGCCTACAAACCCACTACCAGCAACCCCCAGTTCAAAGAATGACGTCCTGCCCACGCTGCCATTAAGTCCAAAAGCCGCCGAGGTCAATCTGGCTCCGCGAAAGCGTGCAATAAATCGAGAAAAGCGACAGGTCACCAAGACACTCGCATCAGCCCGCCAAAAAAGATCAGCAGCTAGTAAGGCAGCGGAAAAGCTGGCCCACGCAACAAAGATGGAAAATTTACCATACGACTTGGATGATCCCATTGAATCAAGTGCTCCAGAGAGGACAAGAATAGCTCCTAACACCGATGCGATGGAAATAGATAGAATGGGCATAAATGACAATCCCGAGAAATCACACAATCAGCCACCGACCTCACGTCAGCAGGAAGGAGAACTTAGACTTCCAGCTGACAGTAATTCCAGCAAAGACATAACGCTGGAACTCGCCAGTTCCCTTCCCGAAGGTCATATGCAGCCAATGCCATTCAGTGAAGAAAGCACACGCCCGCATAATCAAGTGCAGGTGCAGCCTACATGGCCAGAAAACCCCAATGATGGGAGAGACAACTGTCGTACATCGTCAACGCCGAGCAGAAAGCGCAAATTCGTCGCGAGCGACGGTTCTCAAATGTCACATGAAGATAGTATCGAAGCCCATATGCCTGCAAATAAGCGCCTGAAGGAAGATTATAGCAACGGCCAAGCCTCGGGTAATAAGCTTGCGACAGCTATAAAAACTGCTGGTGTTGAGGTGGACCACAAGCCGAACGATAACGTGACCATCCAAGGGAACAATAATAGCTGTGAGGCGGAGAGTATTAAAAAGCGTCCGCAGATAAACAAGACGCTAGAATCCTCTCAGATTTCTCGAAATGTTTCCCTGTTCATTGCAAAGCAGAATGCAAAAGGACACAATACTGATACCACGGGAGATATTCAAAATATCCAGAACGATGCTGAGGACCAGGACTGCAATCGAGCAAGCCCAATGAAGCCTCAGACGTTGGAGACAGAAGCACACAGAGAGCTTAAACATGTTTGTAACACGAACAACCGTTTATCAAAAGTGCAAATGCAGAATCAAAGCCAAGTGAGCGATGCAGACATAGAAATAGCAACGTCCGCCCCGAATGCGGATTCAATCGACGGCTCTTCGGGGGAAAGAAGTGGAAGTCTTAACGCATCCGCCCATGGTGATTATACCGCCTCGGGAGTTCATAGCGTGATTATGATCAGTAGTGACTGTGAAGAACTCCAGGGTAACATGATTGTAAACAGCACTTCTATCAATGACCTATCCGAAGACACAGTCCCTGTCGGGCATAGCATGAAAGGGCCATTGGATTCTCAGAGCAAGACTGTCGACGAAAATGGAAGTCCTCGCCCCCGGCAAATTTTTAGAAGATCCCGAGTCAATGGTGTTCAGCTTGGATGTGCACAACAAGATCAAGAAAAACACAAAGAGAAACCCGGCGCGCCATCACCAGGGATTCGCGGTAATGCCGCCGGAAAGGTAACGAGTGATGTAGAGAGCGAGCGTTTAGAGGGCGGGTTTGAGGAAGACAGCACGCGTATCGCAAGCCACAACATTTCGAATGATTCTTCTTCTTCTCTGAACCAGCCAGAATCAACCTTAAATAAACGTGACGCCATATCTGGGGTACCGGAAACCACAAATCGCAACCCAAAGCCAAATACAAGAGCCAAAGGAAAACCGAAAGAGCCCTCGACTGTCATAAAGAAAGTTAAAGGAGTTGTTAATACATCTCGAAATGTAAACAAAGTCCGCAAAAGCACTAGGATATCGAAAGCACCCTCATCGCGAGGTCGCAACAACAACCGACATATTCCAAGGGCTAGTAGCGATGGTGTTGATGCATCAGGTAATTCCCAGGCTGAAACTAAAACTGAGAACGTCGGTTCCTCCGAGGCTGTGTCCTCAAGTTGGACCACGACCTCGTCGGAGGGTATCAGTGGCGATGCTACGCAGGAATGGCAAAAGGCGCTACGGGCAACACAAAAAGCCACGCTAGATATCTTGTTGGATACAAGTAATGTAATCTTACCACGAAATCGTGTTTTCCTGATCTCTATGCAAGATGCTAACTGCAATGGTTTATAGCGCCTGGTCCGACATTTGATGAATGAAGAGGCGGCCATTCTGAATGTCGTCGACGTGTATAAGAAAGGGGGTGACAGAATACTTGATCAGTTGGAAGAGATGCACAAGAAGAGTTTAAATACATTTCTGGGAAAGTTGCGGCCAGTCAAAAAGGGCTTGAATGACCTTCGTCAGGGTATTTTGCGCCAATTGGAAGAAAACGAACTGGTATTGGGCGATATCGCCACGAAGAAATTCTCCAGGAGATGCGAGAAGAATAGACAAGCGCTGCAGCGAAAGATCGAGAATACGGCGAACAAAGTGTGAAGGCAGCATCAAGAATAGAATAAGCTGTTTTTGATTCGCAGACCGGTATCGGAGATTTTTAGCTGTACCACGGTGCAGCCGGAGACTTCTCGCCTGTTTGACTTTGAACCTCGTTGTCTGTGATGATTCGCTTTTTCTTTGTTTCTATTGGCAACTGCTCCTCCATGCTCCGTACACGACCAGTAATCTTATGGTGGCCCTGGGTGCAGGCAATTGAGATATGGTTTGACATTCGCTGTATAGTCTTTGAGTCTGTATCACCTGTCCATAGCTGCTCGTTAGATAGTTAACTCATCCAAGTATTCAATCGATAATAAAACTCCCATGCCTGGTTAACTTCGCTCTCGAGATCCCGGTGCCGCGGAGCGCCAGAAACCTGGCTGTGTCAAGCCCGCGATGACGTCCTGTCAACCCAAACTAAATATAGCGTGTTGGGCCAGCTCTATGAGTCAACCCGAAAGCCCCAAGAAAAAGTCTCCCAAAGAGTTCACGCTGGAGCTTCAACCTCTTTATAGTCATTCCCTCTTCCTTTGCCCAGCTCGTACAGCTGCTTGACTCTTGGTTCTTATCCACAGCGGACGGTCAATCGTATCCCGTTAAACTTCCCCGCCTTCAAAACCAAGTGAAAGCTTTGCTCGTATCCCAGCAATGGCCCCGCAACCAGTGAGCTTCGAGCCCAACTTCTTGTTTTTCATCCCTCACCAGCTGCTAACATTTGACTCACAGTGGTATATTGAAAACCCCAATGTCGGGAATCGAAGCCATGCGGAGGATTGGCGAAGTAAGTATACAGCTCAATTGAGGTTCCTTTTTTTTTGGGGGGATCGCAGTGAAACTGATGGTGTCTTCTCATCCAGTCCGCGGGTACAACCCGCTGACACCGCCCAATCTCCTCCAGCATGAGATCCCGCAAACTCCTCACTCCAAGAAGACAGTCTTGATGTCCAGAGAGGAGGCCGCCGCAGTCGTCAACGGCATTGACCCCAAGAACCGCCTCATGGTCATCGTTGGACCGTGCTCGATCCACGACCCCGAAGCTGCCATGGAGTACTGCAGCCGCCTCCTCAAGCTCAAAGAGAAATATAAGAATGAGCTCTTGATCATCATGCGATCGTACCTCGAGAAGCCACGTACTACAGTTGGCTGGAAAGGTCTGATCAACGACCCCGACGTCGACAATTCCTTCCAGATCAACAAGGGTCTTCGCATCGCCAGGCAGCTGTTCGTCGATCTGACCGACAAGGGAATGCCAATTGCCAGCGAAATGCTCGACACCATTTCCCCCCAGTTCCTTGCCGACTTACTCTCCGTTGGCGCGATCGGTGCCCGAACCACCGAGTCCCAGCTCCACCGCGAGCTCGCCAGCGGGCTATCTTTCCCCGTAGGTTTCAAGAACGGCACAGACGGCTCTCTCGACGTAGCCGTGGATGCCATTGGCGCCGTCAAGCACCCCCACCACTTCCTCAGCGTAACCAAACCTGGTGTCGTCTCCATCGTCGGGACGATGGGCAACGAGGACTGCTTCATCATTTTGCGCGGCGGCAAGAAAGGCCCTAACTACGACGCAGCCTCGGTCGCAGCTGCAAAGAAGAGACTCATCGAAAAGGCCGTCAATCCCAGATTAATGATTGACTGCAGCCATGGCAACTCGGAGAAGAACCATAAGAACCAACCCAAAGTTGCCGCAAACATTGCAGCTCAGATCGCTGGGGGAGAAACCGCTATTATGGGCGTGATGATCGAAAGTCATATTAACGAGGGTGAGTTACTACTTTTTGACTACCTCTAGAACCAGCTAATGCATTCTTCCTTTTCTACACAGGCAACCAACCCGTCTCACCCCAGGGCAAAGCTGGCCTCAAATACGGCGTCAGCATTACCGATGCCTGCATTGGCTGGGAAGACACAGAATCTGTTCTTGCCACCCTTGCAGACGCGGTAAAAAAGCGGCAAGCCATCGAGGCAGAGAAGGCCAGCTCGTAATTTAATCTAAGACGCGCCATATCCAGGCTAGGGTACGGAGAGGAAACCGCGCATGTCTCAACGGGCGTATGGAATAACGTTTTTCTAGCTGAAATAGATAAAAAGGGTTTGATGTGTCTTGAGTCTTTCTTCTCGGCCACGTGCATGTTAATTTATTTACTTTTCCTACTCCGTACACGGTTTCTTCATCTTGCATCGCACCCCTCCGTTTTGGGTGCTGTTTGCATGGTGGTTATGGCGCACCAAATCTCATCAACGCCACAAAATTTTATATCAAACTAGGAGTATGGATCGAAGAATTACGCGGGAGGGGCAAAAGAACTAAAAAAGGCTCGGTCCATTCGGTGATGGGAATCCCCGGCTCTTCTAGCATTTCGGGCGTACTTTAGTTATTGTGGAATTTTCGGAAAATCTCTCAGTACCATGTCAGATGTTCTTAGTACCAATTTGGTCCGCTTTTCATCAGCACAACATTAAATTAGCAGATGCCTCCGATCAATCAAAATGTAGAAAGAAATGGTGAGTGATAAAGACGATATGCTAAAGGGGGGTATCCGAGGGGACAGGAAAGGTACACATTATATCCGTAGAATGTGCTGAACTAAGAGAGGAACCACCGGGGAATGCACCGAAATAACCTAACGAAGGAAAAGATCATGGCGGACGTGATCATGTATGCTCATTAAAATCCGGGGAATTAACACGGAGCTCAATGCATGAAGGATGTCGAACAAAATTAGTTGTCATCATACCACCTCAGACGAGTTTCGTAGCGCAGTAATCGGATTCGCTCGATGTGCTGTTCCAGGAATCCATGCCTCATCCAGCGGCAAAATAAGATTAGGGTTGACGTACTTCCTCAATCTCGGCGCTAGGTCCTGTCCCCTAAGTCGGAGGGGTATAGAGTCCCGTTCCCATTGTGAAGGTGGAGACAGGGTTGATGTCGGAGTGGGACTTTCATCCGATTCAGCAGCACGGTCACGGTCGATGCTCCGCAGGGCGATGAATTTCATCAACGGGTCGTAGGTCCTGGAGAAAAAGTAGAAGAACCACACTGTTCCTGCGAGCAATGGAACAATCAAGATCGAACGTGTGATTGCTCTTCGCAGTGCGAGGATGCCGATCATTGCAAGTTGGAAGACGAGAAGTCCGACGATAACGCGGCTGCATATCATGGGCCAGGCACGACCGGTGGAATGTTGTCGGTGATCCATGGCGTAGAGAAGCTGGTATTTGTAAATGAATCGGCCAATGCAGAAGTAGATGAGGCCAAAGAGGCAAACAAGCCAGGAGCTCGGGAAAACGCTGTACACGATGCAAATGATAAAGATGAGGATAGTTTGTGGGAGTGCGAAGCCGTAGTTAAACATAGGGGGTTTTTCCAGGTCAGCGTAGTCGCGAGGCGTTTTCGCTCCTAGTAAATGAAACGGGTACATAGCCACACTTCCAAATTCTAGCAGGCGAAAGGGAAACAGACCCAATCCTTGCAACACGATCAAATTCACATAGAACGGTGCAAGAGTTTCGAGTGAGCGAGCCAAGGCAAAAGCCACTGTAGTTGTATCTTTGAAAACATCTCTGAGATTCTCCCAGAAACCATAAAAGTTAGAGGCAGTTGCAAAAACCGTGAAGACTAGGAAGAGATTAAAGAAGGTGAAGAAGAAGTTCTTCGATATGACGGATAGCTCAACGTCTCCGCGAGAAATCATCCCCTGCATATTGGCGAGCCCTGAGTTGTGAGGTTAGCATTCAAATGTCTAGAGAAGAACCAGGAGTGGCGACTTACAGTTGTAGATATATGGAGCTGAGACGGTCAGCAACGAGAGGATTAACGTGGGAAGACCCGTTTGAACCAGAGACTTGACCAAGGGGTGACGGGAGAGTGCATCCGCTAATTGGGGGATGACTTTCTCGATTGTCTCCAAGTTTAGCAAGTATGCCAGCGGGATGAGGAGAACGGACCAGAACACGGTCAGGAAGCCAATCACGAACGTGACAGACCATGATCGAAACCATCTCTCGGATCTAGAAAGATATGTCTTTTCCCAAACCACATCCCCCGGAGCAGGAGCTAAACTAGCAACAAATTGCATTGGAGATGGATCCAAGATTGCTTGGACGGCCATCTGACAAGCAGCTATTGACTCCATTGTCACAAATGCGAGGTGGGTGGGTGGAAACTCTTTCTCTCTGGTGGCTTCAATGGTTTCATCAAGGCAGCGCAGCTTTTCTTCATAATAATCAATCGCATCAACGGATCTATATCTCAGCTTGAATGGTCCATGCCATAAGCGAACACTCGGGCGTTCATGAGCAAAATCGGGGACATGGTCCTGTTCTTCGGCTGATAGCAATGCTGTGGTTTCGCCTCCTTCGTCGGCTCGATCCAATGCAGATGCGGGGGCGTTGTCACCATGAAATCGTTTTCGTAGTCTCTTCGGTTGATATCCCACGTGTCTTGTCCATGCTTCTTCCAATTTCTGGAGCACCTTCTTTCGTTTATGGATCAAAGTGTCGAGTTCCCTCCAGTCGCGGCATAGAGTTAAGTTTTCAACCTTTCCAATTCCAAGGTTTTCTATGAACTCCTTGATCTTTTCCTCTGATCTCATTTCGGGTGGAATTCCAGATAGACGAATCGTGCGATCGGTCATCGTGGTTTGGCTTCCCAGGCATTGTTGTCGTATCCGAATAATTTTGTTCGTCTGGTCGACTAGGAGATAGATTGCCAATCCAGTAAAGACGTATGAGAATACGACATACATCCATAAATACGTAGGGTCGGTTTTGGGCTCTTCTTTATCTCGAATCGCGGTTATATGCCCCCTACGAGAGCGGTATAGGTGCGAGAATTCTGAACTGTTGCCATCTCTCCCATCCCAGGGGTATCCGTACTTTCCGGTATAAACGTAATGAATCGGGAGAATAACAATCAGGGAGAAGAAAAAGGTTATAGTCAGGAAGTTGATAGCATATTTGTAGAATGAGAGGAACTAGGAATCATGCAGAGACTCAAGTTAGTGTCAGTTCTCGCCGAACAGCTCAGGCGGGGAAACATACGACGAAGGCGTCCAACCCCGCGGATGCCAATACTTCATCATCGTTAATTTTGTACAAAACCGGAATCCACCCAAACATTGAGTCCGGGAGCTCGGGAAGCCTCGAAGCGGCCGTCCTCAACCGTCGACGCGCACTGTACAGCACTCTCCATTTAGGTCGTAGAATCTAACATCAGGCCCTCCACTTAGTAACTCAGATTCCTCGTCTTCCCACAAGCTCACCAAGGTCTCATGCGTAACAGTCAAGAACATACACAAAAAGTCAGAAACGCACTCAGCCCCACCGCGGAACTGATCACGATCTGGGTATACAGGTCCCGCTGGCCTCTCGCCTGGTCTTGGAACTTTGGCAGGTCATCATCCCCATCGCCACCGGAGGCAAACGAGTGAAAGGCAGTGTTCGTGACAGTAGCCGCAGACAAAAGGGAGAGCGTCATCGAGGTATGATGCCTTTCCCCTGGTCCTAGTTCTCTCTGGTTGGGCTTCGAAAGCGGTGTCGCGTCGACAATGATGGCGGGGCAGGCCGATTTTCGCAAGCTCGATTGGTTTCAGAGGCGATACAGATCGCGCAAAATAGCCCTCAGTGGTCTGGACTATTCTCTGTCGCACTCACAAGCCAAGCGGATGTCAGCTCTGGAGTTCTGCAGGATATTCCCATTCGCCGTAAACTTGCCTGGCGCGCCAATGACGTCCTGCCGCATGGCCGGATCGCGGAGAAACGAAAATCCGCCTTAGCCGCGGCTCCGCACAACATCAACCACTAAGCTGGACATTACACATGGACAGCAAATATTATGGGAATTCAACATTATTACGGTTGATATATGACATTAAATCTAAGCAATGACCCCCAAAAGGTGGGAAGGAAAAAAAATCAGACCAAGCAGGACTATGGAAACATCACGTTAGACACTCAAGGAAGCCGACCTTGCCTTCTGGATCTCAGAAGCATCATAATACAGGGCCAGCAAACACGCTGCAGACCACGCCTGGGTCGGTGACTAAATGAGTGCACAATGTCATTAGACACTTACGTCTCTTACAGGTCAAAGAAGGGATAAAGGACTTACCGAATCAACACAAAATTCCCCGTTCTTATTCGTCAATTCTGTCAGACCTTTCCATGTACTCTCCCTCAGAGATTTGCAGCATCTCTCCAGTCGCATGGTAATCTGCTGGGATATGTCCATCAAGCTCTGATGTGAACTATTCCTCAACAGAGAAAACTTCAACAGCGCTTGGAGAAAGTACCCAGTTGGCCATAACCATTCGGGGCCCTGATGATAGTTCCTCCCCTTCGAAGTTGCAAAATCGGTAGAGTCTTCCGAGTTGTTATAATATGGCCTGTAGTTCAGGTCGGTCGGGTCAAGCGTTGCCATCCCCAGTGGCCCGCGAAGGACAACGTCAGCGATGGTCAGAGCATGAAACCCCCTTTCTGCATCGAAAAGGTCAGGTGCAACAGTCATCGCAATAGTAAAGTTGGGGCGGAGCTGATAGTCCTCATAAGGTTGACTAGATTTATATATATCCTTATATATTCCGCGACGGTTCACGAGTTTGCTGTCCACGTTGAAGTCCCGGTCTTCCTCAGAGTCTACAGGGACGTAGTAGCACTTTTCGAAGTGTGTTTTAACCCTCGTTGCCCAGTCATCGAAAGTAATTGTTAGTCCAGACTCAATGTCAACACCTGAGTACGGGTAGTGGCCCTTTCTCCGTAGATCGGACACCCAGCGCAGCGCACTGTAGAGCAACCCAGAAATTTCAATCGGTGCGCCGTCTCTTGGAGTACCAGGATATCCCTGGTTTTTAGCCTTTACGCTCTCTCCCATTTTATCCATCCATGTCCCGCAATTCCACTGATTCCCTCCGAATATAATCCCGGTCTCCCAGTCAACATGGACATCCACCTGAAATCCCTCGGGCTTCATCTGCAAGTCCAGCTCCGGACCAGCGTTGTGCTCCCTATACGAGATACCCGATGCATGCCTCTGGAAGACCTCCTGGATAATTTCCGCGATCGTCGAACTTCTACTATACGCTCTCTTATCGTCAAACGGAAACCAAGTATCATCGTAGGGTAAGAATCGTCGAGGAACATTTTCCTCCAGAATTCGAATACCATTGGGAACGATATGGGTATAATCTTGAATAGCCTGCAGGAAGAACCAAACGGAATCACGAGAGTTGTATCTAGGGAACTTTCCAGACGAAAGTAAGTTGGGTATCATGCCATGTTTTAACGTGCTTGCAAAGGCTAGGATATGCTCTTTTGCATCGTCAAAGCGTCCAGTGGCGAGGAGTAACCCGCGAAGCGAAATGAAGACATCGCGGCCCCAGCATCTCGCCCAGTCTGTTGCAAAATGAGGAAGACCGGCAGCAAGGCAAGGCACCTGATTTGTGGGATAAAGTGAAGCAGACTTGACCTCCCCCAGATGCTGTACGCTAACCAGCGCCAGTTCGTGAATGAAATGTTGCCCATGCTCAATAATAACCCCGAGACAATGAATTGCATGTCTGCAAGCTGCATCGTATGCAGCCTTGATAATGATGGTGAAGTATCGGGGCAGCAAGAAATTTGGTACTCGACGTACAGCGTTGAATCTGTCTTCGAGCCACTTTGTCGGTCCTTCAAGTTGTGAGTAACCCTGTTGCGTGATAGCCCGCCGCATCCTTCCGACGACAAAGTCAAGCGCCCATTGGCCGGCTCTAAGATTATCACAGAGTGGATGACCTAGGTCATTCGTTTTAATTATCTCTTCGAGAACACTCCACCATCCCTGAAGGCCAGCATAAACAAGAGGGCCAAAATTTGGGATCTTGTAGACTCCGTCCTTCCCGCCGCTGGAGTCTCTTTCCTCGGAATCACAGCGATACAAGGTGAAATTCAGGCCGGTAAGATCAACAGAGCGGAAAGTTGCATCTGCATCAGCGGTGATAAATTTACTCAGGTCCACCGGTAAATCTCTTTCATGGATATGTGTTTTTAGTAAAGCAATTGAGCCCGGTGGAAAATCATCGGGGGTATATATTATCGTATCATCTCCATTCTCTTCAAGCCGAAACCCAGATATTTCAGAAACACGGCTGGGCAAACCCCTCAGATACTTCTCATCAGCGGCTACAATTCGCTTAGCTTCGGTATCATTCTCAACTTCCAATTTCCAGGCCCCTAAAAGTGATGCTTTGGTGCCTGTTAAGTGAATTGGAGCGAGGATGTGCTTAACATTAGACGCAGAAAATGCGGTACGTGATATAAGTAGTGTCCCTTTTCTCGTGTGTGGATGTACCCTGTGAACCGTTATGTACTCTGCATCGTGGTGAATATGAGTCTCATCATATTCGTCAATCGCCATCTCTGTATGCAGGCTGTTCAAAAGCTTCTTTATTCCACCAATACCTCCCTCGCCAGTGGCGTCTTGGACGCCATTTTCTGAAAAGACTGAATGGTATGAGCGAGTTTCAGTGACGAGATTCACATGCTCAGGATATATCTCATCGTAACCCATGACACTTCCAATCGCAGAAGCGCACATTGCGACCAGAGCTGCATTGGGCAATGTATCCCTCGGATCTCGCTTTTGAGCAGGAGTTTCATTATCATGAGAACAATCCATGAAAAGAGCATGCACCGTAGTTGGCCGAATATGGTGGAGGACAACTTTGGTCTCCATTTGACACCAGTGAGATAACAAGCTTGGATCAAAGCTGCCAATTGGAAGACCACCGTGGCGATGAACCAATCGACTTAACTCAGCAGCGCTCCATGCCTGCATAGCTTCTCTAATCAACGCTGTCAATCCAAGTCGTTTTGTAAATAAATAATCAACCTTCTCGGAACCCGTGAATAGCTCCGCATAAACCATTAAGTTCGGACGAATACGCCGAGCCTCATGTAACAAGTATTCCGCAACGGGCAGGGGTGTGGAGTGACAGTTATCAATGCGAAATCCTGCAAAATGTTTCGCCATTAACTTTGTATATCGAGTTATGTAGTCCCATAAAAATGGATTATCCTCCGGACAATTCCCATAACGCAGTTTAACGCAGTCCCCCCAAACGATAACTTCACGTTTTAGGTATGCCCGACAACCCGGCCCAGCGTTGTCCCTTAAAGCGTCGGCATTCCACACCCACCCGTTGTTAACCAAGGCAAGCGACCTTGGGCTATGCGCTTTAGTGATATCATTCAACGGAAGACGAGTAAAATACGTTTCGACGAGTGGATTCTTTGGAGTGACGGGGCCCAGCTTAGGCCCATGGTCATCGAGGCGTAGATACTTGATCCTATGGAATAACTGGTCAAATATTTCCGAGACGTCGTCGTCAAACTCTCTGAACAGTGGCAAATTCAGAGAATCCAAAGTTTTGAAGACGTTCTCTTCCACGACAGGTATATCTGCTGTCGTTTCGTCGTATCGACCGTATAGCGCAGTGATGAGTGCAGCACCGATTCGAGGATTTACTTTTCTGCTGTATCTCCCTAAAATCTGGTTGTCATTTTCAAGTGCCTTTTCACGTAGGAAAGCAGCTTTCTTTTCAAACGGCCACTGTCGAATTTCGCTTAAGCCTCCTACTCCGACCTCCCCGAAGCCGCCTTTTGGATAATCAAGATTTCCAGATTTCCAGGCTTTGATGATTGCCTCCGTATCACGCTGAACATTGACCGAGTAAAATTCCCAAAGCTTAATCTTTTCAATAACATGTGGCCTCATCTGCTGCATGACGGAAACCAAATCCTCGACGGTTTTAAACTCTGTGGGTAAATCTAGACTTTGCAACGCATTTCCATAACTTAACAGAGCGTCGTCCAACTCCAGGGCAGCTTCTAACCAAGGGGCAGTTTCCACATTATAGCCAGCTTCGGGATGTTCCTGGAGCCATTTGCTGTTATGTGCTGTATGGTTCCATACAACATCAGTCAATGCAAGCAGTCCGTACTCCTTTTCCATTCTCGTGACCATATCTATAACATCGCTTTCTCCATTCGGAAAACATTGGCGATCAAACTCTAACTGATTGTATATGCTGTACGGAGAATTTGACGCCCCTCGAGTCATTAAGGGCGTAAAATGAACAACATTATATCCCCGCTGCCCAATTCCCTGAAGATGTTTGTTCCAATCCGCCGGGAACTTGCCCATGAATTTGGAGACGATGGAGAATATCGAAAGAGACTCGACGGGCATTCGTTTGCCATTAAGTCTAATATCCGGACACACATCTATATAGTACGTCCCCGTTCTTATTTCGGTTTGGGGCGAAGGTGCGAACGAGTCCGAGAGTTTGGGAAGAAGGCTGTAAGTGATATAGAAGGAAAAGGCTCCTGCACACGTAATTGGGATATCAATCTTGAACTCTCGGTTGAATACCGGTTTCAGTCCATAATTTACCATCAGTTTACGGTTGTAAAATGATGAGCAAGGCGAACGGGTCCTTACTTGAATTCCCTGAATTTGTTGCTTTTAAAGCACTCTCCCGGAGCTGGAATATTCACCCATAATCTCCCCTTCCGACAAATAGCGCTACTTCCCCCGATCACAAACCGAAGCAGATATGGGGGATGGGTCGGAGGAGGGAGGTAGATAAAACCTCCCGGAACATCTGGAGCGCCATCGTTGGCCAACGGAAGCAAATACACGTGAGTTCGGGTCGCCATGCTGGGTGAGAATTATGCAAACGATCACAAGGGCCGTAGCCCAGCCACAGGCCCCAAGGTTATTCTCTGGGCCACGATGGTTGCCGAGTTGCGCACAATGGCAATCTATAGCTGGTGAAACCAAGGTCGAGGGGTGAGTAGAGGGAAAGACAAGGTTCGCATGATATGACGTCAGGTGACTGACCGGTGAGTCTCGCATTCTGTAGTTCGTACAACGAAAGCGATCGCTATACTCTGTACTAGGTAGATTGAGCTCCAATTGGTGGGAAGAAGGGTGCTACATGGTCAAAATCTTGGATGAAAGGACATCTTATGGTGAGAGGAGTTCATAATTCACAGAGCTTAGACAAATCAACACCCTAACAAGCGCCCTTCTCATCATCTCTGTCACAGTCCATCACGCATCAGGGCATTTGCGTGTTCACCAACTCCATCTACTCCTTAACGAGTATATGGATCAGCCGCTAGTTTTCAAGGACTTGTCACGGGTATTGTTTGCATACCAGCGAGCTCTTCCAGATTGACTAGAAAGTTGGTCGACGATGCCTTTTATGCTTCTGTGGGGCATAGGAGTTATGGAACGTCTATGTTCCCATTACTTGCCATAGCCGCAGTACCCAGTCAAAGACGTCGCACTTCCTTCTGAGCTAGAATCTACCAGCCGGTGCTATCGGGTCTTCCATATCGAAGAGATTATTCCACTGTACACCAGTAGCAGCCCAACCCCACGGTTCGGCTATGTACCTCTGGTTGTTTGTACCAGCGGAGAAGGGTTACTGGTGAGGAAGGAGGCAAAAATTAGAAAATCTAAGGTTGTCGTTATCTTCAGCGCCGCTCAGATACGCCTATTCGTGCAGAGAGGCCCCGCTCGCCCTGAGCTTGTTATGTACGGTTCCAGGGAAGGGTAGACAAGCGGCTGATTTGGATCCCAGTTGCCCTTCAGCCAGTCAAGACGATTGCGTCAATGTAGGCATGCCCGCCAGTCGATGGACACGGGAGAAGTGCTTCCACAAGATCGAATTTTTTTTTGGTGTGACGTGACGACCCATTTTCTCCTATTGTAGTGGACAGTCTAACCATTTGTCCCAGCACCATCCATCCCAATGGCGCATTTCGTGGAAAAGGGCGATTTAGCGAGTATAGCAGCAGAAGGCATAAAGCAACAGAATGTTATTAGACCAGAAGCCGCGTCAATATCTTTACGTACATATATATCGGCATTTGGTCATGTGGCTGTTTTGTTCGTAGTTTGTAAGTCTGAAAGACAAAGGATTCGGGAGACCCTGAATGCTATTTTTGTTTTCCCGTGTATGTCGACTTCCAAGGAAGTTAAGGCGGGATTCAAAGTAGGCAGATGCAGGTTGCTTGATCCCACTGCTGTACCAAGCGATGCCGGCACTCTCAATCTAGCCCAACTTTCTCAGCCGTCAGATTGCATCGTGCTCCGATACGTTTGTCGAACTAGGCCTTCTTCAATAGACTTTGTAATCATCCGCTTTTGCCTATAGTTCCGCATCATCATTTGGGTACACAAAGTTCGTACCATGACCTAACCCTTCCAGTTTTCATCTCTTAAACTCCGGGTTTTGATCTATTGTCTGAGAGATAAAATTCCTCAGTGCGGCCCAGCGGTTTGAGGACGAAGTTTGTGTGGCATCCACAGTGCTGGCAGCTGGCTCCTTTGGATCTGCCAACCCAGTCGCCATTTGCGCCATATTCTTGGCGAACCGATCGCGCTCAACCTTGTCAAGCTTCTCCTTCCGCTTCATAGCGCCGGGTCTGTGCTTCAAACTTTTATGTCGGATAATGTTCACTTGGGCGTCTTCGGGGACTTCATCATCGGCGTCGGGTAATGCATCAGCGAGAGAATCGAGGTTGGCGACGAGTTTTTTCGACGGTCGACGCCTTTTGAGGGGTTTCTTGCGGGATTTTTCGATCTTGGAGACAAATGCTGAGTGCTTAATGATGCGTTTGTCCTTTTTCGAGGTATGAAATCCAGAGTCGAAGGAATCAAATGTATCAACAGCTTCCTCCCCTGCTGAAGACGCTTTTTTCACTGAAAAGGAGCTCAAGGCCTTGGACTTGGACTTGGGACGGATGGGGGCCTGAATACGTAGAGAGTCAGAAACAACTAGCCAACGTAAGACTCCGGGTAAAAGGAGCCAAAAAAAAAAAAAAGGGTTTGCTCACCATTGTAAGTACTAGGCAATTATCGTGGGACTGCAAGGCCGCTCAAAAATGTCCGTTTCGCATTCCTCGTCAAAGGGTTTCAAAAAAGAAAAGGCGCGTTTGCTCTGTTTGTCCTCCAACTGAAGGACTTATATAATCAACATGTGATTGGCTGAATCTATGACTACGTCATACCACGTGATACATTCTAGACAAAAATGAGCCCCACTTGGTGGAATTATGTAAGCCCCCACAGGACCCGGCGATCGCGGCATGTGATTGGCGGGAACTCGGGCCGGGCAATGATTGTCGAGCTTGCTTGCTTTCCTTTTCCCAACACTCGCGTGCGACCGAGATTTTGGGCTGGCAATCCAGGCACGTAGCACGAACCATTGTTGAGAAAAGGCACTGGACGCTCCCCCAAGTTCCCCCGCTCCAGACGCCACCCTCCCCTTCTTCCCCGTATTACCCTGTAGACTGCATGGGAGTCCTGCGGGTTTCCGTTGTATCGCAACTCGCTCTTCTCCGTCCCTCAACAGCTTTTACTTCTCAACTATCTTCACATATCACTGTCTCCTTGCCCCGCGCATTTGTTTCTTTGAATCTCACCTTCCAGCGAAAATACACCATGGCGCGACTTTCTCCGTACACGAAGAAACACAAAGTGACCGTGGTCGGTTCTGGCAATTGGTGAGTTCCTCAGCGTCTACCAGGGCCTGGTTAGGGGTGGTTCTGACGGTGGCGATAGGGGTTCCTCAATTTCCAAGATGGTCGCAGAGAACGTCGCCGCGAACCCGGATCTTTTTGAACCTGTTGTCAATATGTGGGTGTACGAAGAGCAGATCGAGATCCCCAAAAAGTCAAGACACTATGACCCTTCGTCGCCGCTCTGCAACAGCGTGCAGAGCCTTTCAGACGTAATCAACCAGCTACACGAGAACGTCAAATACCTACCGAACATTACCCTCCCAGACAACCTGCGCGCGAACCCTTCCCTGGAGGACTCCGTCAAGGACTCCAGCATTTTGGTCTTCAATCTGCCTCATCAGTTCATTGTGGGCATTTGCCAGAAACTCAAGGGTCATATCTTGCCATACGCCCGAGGGATCTCCTGCATCAAAGGTGTGAGCGTGACAGACGAGGGAGTAAGCCTGTTCTCAGAGGTTATTGGCAGGGAGCTGGGGATCTACTGCGGTGCATTGTCTGGTGCCAACATTGCAAGCGAGATCGCCAAGGGCCTTTACTCCGAGACCACGATTGCATACGACCCACCACACCTAGACTCCAAGGCGCCAACACCCCAGAACATGTCACCCGTTTCGTCGATGGTGAACGTCAACGATATAGTGCATTTCCAGCACAGAGATTCATCGGGCAGCTACTCGAAGGTGAAGCTCAGGCCCTTGCCGGCGGAATACCCTCCGGTTGACCACGTCTTTATCAAAACTCTGTTCCACCGCCCTTACTTCCACGTTCGTGTGGTCCACGATGTCGCTGGTGTGTCTCTCGGAGGAGCGTTGAAGAACATCGTGGCCCTAGCTACTGGTTTCGTTGACGGGAAGGGATGGGGCGACAACGCGAAAGCCGCTATCATGCGTGTTGGATTGTTGGAAATGGTAAAATTCGGCAAGAAATTTTTCGGTGAGACGGTCAACCCCCAAACTTTTACCGAGGAGAGCTGTGGTGTCGCCGACCTCATTACCAGTTGCAACGGCGGCCGCAACCACCGCTGTGCCAAGCTTGCTGTTGAGCGCGGCTTGACGGTCGAGGAGGTCGAGAAGACAGAGCTCAACGGCCAGATGCTGCAGGGTACACTCAGCGCCAGAGAAGTCCATGCCTTTTTGAAGAAGCAGGGGCTCGAGGATGAATTCCCTCTCTTTACGGCTGTTTACGGTAAGTCTACAAAGCCATCCCAGCCTACGTCGTAGCAGCCACTCATGGTACTCTAGGAATTCTTGAAGGCAAGGTCAAAGTTGACGATATCCCATCCCTTATCGAGCGATAAACGCACCAGGTCATACGTTTCTCCTTTGTTCATTTCCCTTACATTACCCGACGCCATTAGTGCTTTCTCTGGATACCAGTCATGTAGAATTGACATGCACTTATGGGTTGTTTATGTTATTTTATCCAATGTTGAAAATTTCGAACCCTACCATGAACGAGCGATTATTTTTGCGATTACCCTGCTTCAACCTTGAGCTTCAGTATGGAACAGGATCAGAGAACGGGTTAACTAAGGATGGGGGATAGATAGATAACATGTTGGCGATTCGGGGGTGGCGAGTTCTGTTCTTTTGAGCATCGCGCAGAGTAGTTTGGCGGCGTATTTAATCGAAATATAAATCTAACCGACTTTTCCCAAAGGGAACGTTTTGCTTTTCATTGTGGTATTTGGTTTTTGAAGTACAAACATCTCCGGACTGATTTGGCGGAATAAATTCGCGATCCCCTAGTTGAACATTTTGCCTCTCGGGAACTCTGGAAGCCCCTCTCATCATCATCGTCAAGAAAGTTCATCCCCTCGAAAAACAACACACCCGAAATCAACACCAGCATGACCTCCATAGAAGATACCCGCGCCTCCCTCCAAGCTCAAATTTTAAAAGCGGAGCAGCACCTCCTCCAGCTAAAGCAGCAACTCGCTGAGATCGACCACCAAGCCTCCCAAGATAACACAGACACCGCAACGCCATCTTCTAGTGCGGCTACGACGACTGAAAGTTCGGATTTCAACAATGGCGTTCGAGAGGATTTTTGGAAGCGCAAGTGGCCTTTGCAGCAGGATGAGTATCGGCGCTATGGGCGACAGATGATCGTTGAACAGATTGGTTTGCAAGGTACGGTCCAGTCTTTGTCTGGCTTGCTCTCCAAACCTCCGCCGTGGGCATAGTAGTAATAATTATTTTTTTTTCTTTATTTCAACTACAACAGGGCAACTCAAGCTTCGGAATGCGGCAGTTCTCATCGTCGGCGCAGGCGGCCTTGGATGTCCTGCAGCGATGTACCTTGCCGGCGCCGGCGTGGGCACCCTTGGAATCATCGACGGGGATACGGTTGAAGCTTCGAACCTGCACCGACAGATTCTACATCGGACCAAAAATGCCGGAAAATATAAGGTGGATAGCGCAGTTGAATATTTAGAAGAGTGGGTTAACCCCTTTGAAGGGCTCGGCTATTCGACACTGCTAAAAAGCTATATAATACAGACTAAATCCGCATCCCAAGTATATTCCCTACCGGACCCGCCTAACACCGCACGAAGCTCCAGATATTTTCGAAAAGTACGATGTTATCTTGGACTGTACGGATAATCCGGCCACAAGATACTTAATCTCCGACACGGCTGTGCTGCTCGGAAAGCCAGTAGTATCTGCGTCGGCCCTTCGGACTGAGGGCCAGTTGATGATCCTAAACTACCCTCCGAGGTCACCGGGAGATATATCAGGAGGCTCATGCTATCGCTGCGTTTTTCCCAAGCCTCCGCCAGTGGATTCCGTCATAAGCTGCGCAGATGGAGGAATCATTGGGCCCGTTGTGGGGCTCATGGGTGTGATGCAGGCTCTGGAAACGATTCGAGTCATCGCTTCGCCTATGACGGCCGAAACGGGTGAACAATCAATCGTTCCATCTCTTCACCTCTTCTCTGCATACTCGACACCGCCGTTTCGCAATATTCGACTACGCAAGCGTAGGGCAAACTGCAGTGTCTGCTCCGCAAACCCGTCCATCACCCTCGAGTCGTTACGCAGTGGCTCGACGGACTATGTTCAGTTCTGTGGCTCTTTGAACCCGCCATCCCTTCTCGACAGTAACCAGCGCATTACACCAACGGAATACATCCAGGCCCAACTGACTAGAACGTCTTGCAAGGAAACGGTAGAGGAGCCAATCCTTATCGATGTGCGAGAGAAGGTGCAATACGATATATGTGCCCTTCCAAATAGCATCAACATACCGATCTCGCAGATATTATCATCTTCCAGCCTTACTAGTACGCAAAACCTCGGGAAGCAATCCGCCGATCAGCCTTCCTGGCTTCCAGTGTCAATATTTAACTCTTCCGATGCAGTGTACATTGTGTGCCGACAAGGAAATGATTCTCAAGTTGCAGTTCAGAAATTAAGGGAATTGGGTATCGATCGAAACGGAGAAAGGACTATTGCTGATATGAAAGGTGGACTCAAGGCGTGGAGACGCGACGTTGAACCGGATCTTCCGGACTATTGACTTATGTTCGACCTGCGACCAAGGAAGTTACCAGAGACCATTAAATTAGCCTTTCCGCGGCATTTATATTGTATGCCACTTCGATCATATCCTAGTCGTGTGGCACTTTAACAGGGGCCTTTTCCAGCCAAGCCCATTCCACATCAACTCTGCCTTGTTCAACCAGGGCAAGTTTCTCAAACACGTTCACGGACACGTCGATGTCCGTTGGTTCGCAAGCAACACCTGTGAAGCGTAGTCAGCAACGATGCGCAACACGTACAAAAGAGAAGAAATGAACCAATGTCACGATGAAAGTGGTCGTACATCTATCAACAACAGTCACGTCGACGCTCTTGTCACCCCGTCTGAGTCGAAGCTTCAACCCACAAAGTGGGTTTTGGTTCGGGTTTGACCCTGTACTTGCGGCGTCGTACAAGATCCGCGAGACAGCACAGACATTCTCGGAGGCAGCGCTGGTTATGCCACAAGCTCCTAGGCCCGGCTCATAGTACGTGAGATCCCCGGAGTAGGGGCCACCATTATCGAGGGGTAGAGGCAGGTTCGAGCTTTTCCTATACGAATCCATTTAGCCTTCTGTTATCCAATGAAGGCAAGCAATGCCAGCAAATCAAGTCGAGAAAACGCGGGATGACGAAGCTCACTTTTTCTTCGACAAGCCCACTGCTAAGCCAATTATCAAGACCAAGAGCACAAGAGCAGCAGCTATTCCGCAAAAGAATAATCTTTGTTTCTTCTTGTTCCCGCCGAACCTCACTTCCTCTTTCAACATTGCCATTGACAATCCAAAAAATAGGCTCTTTTTAGTAGACACCGGAACGTCCTCCTTATGTTGCGCATATCCTAATGTCGATCCAGGGAGTGGCTTGCGACGAGGAACGGCCGCAAGTTGGGCAATGGCCACTCGCGCGCCTTTATCCTTCGTGGCTATTTTCTCCTCGGTGACATACCCAGCTTCCAGATCCTTCAACCCTGGCAGGGAGTGGGTTCGCGAAAGCGAAGAGACAGGGCTCTCTGGCGAGGATGCCATTGTCGCATAAATGAATGGAATTAGAAATAATAACGTGTTTCTCGTACGAAAATGAAGCAGTGAGTTAAAAAAAAAGATGCGCGGTCGCCCCGTGGCTATTCACCGTCGTAAGCGCCAGCCAGCGCGCAGGAATGCGACAGTTGGCGCGAAACCGTCAAAAAAGGAGAGTGATAACAAAGTAGTTACAAGAATAGAGGAGGGAGTCCTGAGTTGACCCAGCCAACAGGCAGTCAAAGCATCAAGCCATGATGGACAATTGGGAAAAGAATGTACTCCGCAAGGTGACTGGATCGACGAAGTGGTTAATGTCTCTGGCGGTCGCTAAGGGGCAGTCTCACTCGGGAAGGACGACGATCCCGGCGCACGACCTGACTAAGCAGCGATCGGCTCATTATCGGACCGAAATGATAAGATAAGACCATATATTTCGTTGGTCCGAGAAACCCTTACATTTCCGAGATCTCACAGTAACCTAATTAGGAATTATGCGAGAACTGTACTCCGTAATCCAAATAGCAAACTGTTGGAGCACTGTAGGATTTCTATTATCCTTCTGACAACACTTCCTTTCAGGAAATGAGCTCAGTTCTAGAATGTAACTGAAGTTTGAACTATGAGATTGAGGATTTCATTTCAAATTGAGAGAATTTCTTGATTCTGAAAACTATGTAACTACTGTAGTTACAGAATTTCTGCCACTCTTTTGCTGTCTTAACCCACAGCAACCTTATTCAAACCTTACAGATCACCCTATCCAAAAAACCAATTTTGGAATTCTTTGCTATGTACGGAGTACTCCGTACTAACATCAGAAGTAATATTGGCATTAGCATTGTATCGAGACACTAGTCTCTATGTAGTTAGCCTCCAGCTTAGCGGCTCGGATCTTCTTTGATCCGACGCAGAGCAGTTTCATACTCTAAAAGTCCCCATAGGCGTTGGAAGCGGTTCGAGAAATCTCCTACAGTTTTCATCCCGGTTCTCGTGAGAGAGTGAGGGCACGAATGTATGGAGTGCACGTTCCGTGGTTCCTATAGCTTCCGCATATTACTGTAGTAGCCTTGTAGGCCCTTCGAGACCATGATACGCTTGGCACTGGCTTCTTGGCTCAGACTGCGTGGGGAAAGCGGGAAGTACCAACGCCTTGAACTCTTTCTGGTCCAATGAAAGCCAACCTACCACGGACTCACGTGACTTGGGATAGCTAAGGTTCCAGGGGAGCTTAACCGAACCACGTCTTGTTACCAGAACCTACCTTATTTGTCAAGTAGCATACTCCGTAGTATCAATGAAGATAGCTTTATCTTGCTGAACCTGAATTAGAATCCTTACACTTGGACCTCCTTCCGCAGCATTGTGACTAGGGTCACTAGAGAAAGGTACTGTTCCAAGGTCCCTTGCCATGCTGCATAGCCTGGACATCAGCCTTCAGCCATGGGTTAACTAGTTAACGTAACTATGGCTCCACCGATTTACATAAGCTGGATGGTTCTTCTGTAATAGGTGGGCGTCCGGTGTCTGGCTGGCTTAAGAAAGACTGATATTCCCAAATGGTAACTCCGTCATTAAACCTTTCCAGCTTCAAATAGTATTAAATAGAACAGCTAAGCATGATCTAATCTGTGACCTCCATATCTTCCTGTGCATCTTGAAGTATTTTTCTCATTTCCAAGCCCAGGTTTGGGTTTATTTCTTTCCATCAACCGCCGTTTGGAAAGACAACCCATCATAGCCTGTTGACCCATCGCGATAATGGCTGGTAGTATGGAGTGAAGTAGTCATCCATGGTTGTAAGAAAATCCAATTCATCACTAATTACACCTTTCTTCACGCCAGCCAGATCTCTTGTATTCATATAATTCCACTGTTCAAAATCCTCCACATGCCTCACTCTTCCTGGGCCTTCATAGTGAACACAGATCCAGAAAAGAACCCAGAAGAATGACTCAAGATCATGCATGAATGAGTGCTTCTCCCTATAGAGCATGCTAATTGCCATGAATGCCCTGGTGCCAGTTTTGCCTCACACTCCCAAGAACCCATCACATTGTGCTCAGATGGCAAGGTTGAGGTTGATTAAGAAGAACTGCCAAGAGAGATTGTTATCATCTTTGTTGACCAAAGGATTTCACAGGGAGATATCACTCTGGATCAACCCAGTCTTGGTGTACAGGGATTCATAATCTATTATGCAGCCTTTCATTCTGACAAGTAGAGCCATCCTTGAGCTGCTTTTGTAGATAGGCTTTTCATAATCTTTGAACAATGACATGATGGTGCACTTGATTTGGTGGGCTACTGCCCACAAGATGCTTTATTGGAGAGCTGGACTGGGTATGCTTGCTGGGGGGAAGGAGAAGTATTGTGTCCACACAATCAGAAGATTGTTTCCATCCAATGGTTCTGCTTTAGCTGATATGGCCTCTGTTGGATGCACTTGTCCTCATGGCCACCTGCAAGCTACTCTGCTTGGCTTTTGACAGAGGAACCTCTAGACCCTTTCAAATAGTCCATACATGATCATCCTTGCCATCCAACTGGACAGTTTGGTGAAAGTAATGTTGAGCAACATTTGTGACTCCACTCTCCATTGCTTTGCGCAGCAGTTCCCCCTCACTCTAGGTACTGCCAGGAGTCTTTGACCACCAGGGTCTGCTTGTCCCCTTGGCAATGCACTTTCCAGCAGGTGATGGCTCAGCCTGTGACACAACATGCCTGCAGGATCATCACATCAATTATTAGACACTTCTTCTTGCCATTATACTCAATCTTGATGCAGTGTTGACTGTTCATCATGACAATAGCCAGGTCAAAGCCAAGCTGCTGTCAGTTCATGAAGAGAAACCCCAGAATCACTGTAATGAACTGAAGGCCATTCAGATTGATGTTAGTCTCTCTGAACCAATCCCACCACAACAGTCAAATTTCCAAACATGCAGGAATGATCTACAAAGGGTGAACCCAAGAACAAACCAGCAGTCATACTGCACAGATAGCATCTCTCTGACATACCTTGTCAGATCAAGCTGCACCCCAGAAGGGATATCATACTGTTGGTCATTCTTCAGTTCTCCCAGCACCAGAATCTGCAACCAGTAGTACCATTTGTCCAGTGTGGTATGCAGGTCATCTAAAAAACCTATGTCAAGTTTTTGCTTTGCAGCAGATCCAGCAATCAGCCAAGCAGATTGAGTCAAGGGTCAGCAGACAACTGTTCAAGATGGGTTGTGATCTTCTGCAAACTGCATCAGCTGGTCAATAACTTCAGTCAGCCATTCCAGTACAGGCTTCTCATCTGAATTGTCAGGCCAGTCCTTCCATCTGCTCTCCTCACAGTAGAGAGAGCTATTGCCAGCCTTGCAGTTCTCAAACACAGCCTGTGTGGTTGAGACAAGACCTTCAATGTCATCAAAGTAAGCTGCATAAAAGCCAGGGATATCTGCATGGAGGTCTCCCAAAAGCTTCTCCCTCAGGACAGCATCAATATCTCTTCAAAGCTCCAACAAGTTGGTGAGGCTGCCGGTGTTTCGCGAGCGCGGGGTTTGGAGGATTGACAGATATGACCTGGGTGGAGGTGTGGATCTTTCAGTGCGTGTGACAGTGGCAACAAGGTCATAGACAGCTTTCCAAATGTCGGTGTCAGCAGCATTTTGAATGACGAGCCGGACTAGCGGTTGACAGTGATCATAGCGGAGGTGGCCTTGCCGGATGCGCTTGAATAGGTCTGCCAAATCTGAATCCACATTTTGATCCGCAATTCGTGAGCGAAGATTGAAGGCTGCATCCCCTCCCTGAAGAGCATGAAGGAGTTTTGAGAGCGCATTTTGATAGAGTTGGTCAAGACTATTGATGGCAGTGTCGGATGAGGTTTGATGTGACTCATAGATTGTCTCTGCCTCTTGCAGCAAGCTGCATAAATTGCTAAGTGAGCCAGCTAAAGGGTGCTCCTTGATGATAGACTTTTCAGCTGGTGAAAGCTCTGCCATACTGGCAATGTAAGGGGGTTGGTTTTGATGCTGGAAGGAGGTTTGGCTGCTACCATTTCAAGTCCCAAAGGTTTATCACGTGATGGTAAACAGAAGCCAGAAAAGTTGCCTGTGTCAATCTGGGTAACTTTCCATCATTAGGCAGCAAGAAATTGAAGAGAGTGGAGAGGAGACAGAGCAAAACGAAAGGAACTATGGAGAAGATGTATCAAGTCAGGGCAAGGCTATTCCCTCATGAAATTCCTCCCAACATCAAGATTTCAAAGATGGTATATGTGCCATGACTTCTTCCAGCTTCTGTTTTTGGGGTGGCTTAGGAGGGTCTAATTGATCTAGTCAGTGAGACAGCATATGATCTGGTTAGTAGATTAGTAATTTACCAGCAGCTCTTTCAGGATCTTCCTTAATAGGAGCTTCTTTCTTTGTGGGTTCCATGCTGGTTGGTAGGATCTCCAACGCGTTCAACATGTTTTCGCGTGGTGAGAAACTAAGGTTTAGGATGGATATGATGAGGCATCAACTCTGTACTCCGTATTGGTTGCGCCATTCTGATCCTTGTTCATATTTTACACTAATGGAAACCACGCTAATTTGCACAACAGGGACGGACGAGGGGATATCATATAAACCCCGTTCTCCTGCTGCTTGAACACATCTCCATTGTTCCTTTCTTTTCGGTCTGTCTCCTCACCACTCTCTTCATTTTCTTGCTGCCTAGCTCCCATTCACCACCCCCGTGATTACACTGACCGCTCTGCCGCAGTGCGATGGATCTGGACCATGTCATACTGTGGCTGGCTGTGATTTTCTTCATTGTCCCTGTCTATCTCATTTTCATTGTCACTTTGTGACACAAATCCTTGCTTCCTGGGTGCTGTGATTTGCTGCTTCAGGCTCTGTGGTTCTGCTGCTTGGTCCTCTCCCTGTTTCAGAGATCACTGGCATGCAGTGTTCACAAGGTCTGGTGAAACCCACAATGCCATGGTTGCCAGGGGCTCACATACCTGGTCACGCTGGATCATTTGGTGATCACCCTCGACCTACCAAACAAATATGCTGTCAGCCTTGCTGCGCCTGCGGCATCATTTGTCAGGCACAGATGGTGATGATAGGGTAGTAGATTGGAGGGGGTGATTGCGCCACTCTGAGGTATCCTCTGAGCGATATCACCAGTGTATGTGAGTGCATTCTCAATTGCATGATCTGGACACGCGTCGGACAGCACAATTAAGACAGCGACCACTAAGACATGGATTCTG